ACATCTTATCAGAGAAATGATTATTCTGAGGAGAGAGCTACAACTACTGCCTTCTTTCCCATCTGTTCCCCAATATGCCTAATGAGACCTAATATTTCATAGTATCTTATATTTTTTGGCATTTTGCAAAACAGGAAGACCATGAAAAGGAGCAAATCTTAAAGAAATGGCAAGAATCGCCTGTATTACAGAATATCATAACAAAGAGCTGTCTCTGATTTTAAGAATCAGTTACAATGTTATCTGCAGACAGTCTGTGCTCTCTGGAAGGAAAGGGCTCCATATTACCAGAGCAGGTATCCCCTCAGGAGCAATGCTGCAGGCAGGAACAGAGTTCGTATACTCAAAACAACCCTGCCAATGCGAGGGTGAAGCATCTTCCTTAATCTGAAAGAGTAAGGATGATCACCATTGGGTAGCTCACATAGTCTCCATAAAGATACTAAAAACATAATGGGTCACAAACACTTGGCCACTAAAATGCACTAGGTCTGGGGTCGAGAGAGGACCCATTGCTAAACCTTGATCCACAGATATAATTAAAACAATAGCTGAAATTCAGCCTTTGCAATGCAGGCAGGTCTGCCCTTGATCTTGGAACCAACAGAAAATGACCCAGAACACTGGTTTACATGCCTGCATACTGTTATGGAATAAAAGCTCCGTGCTAGGGGCCATCAGAAGGAGGCGAGGACCCGACTCAGGATCAAGGCGCCCCCAAGTGAGAAGTGTTTCCGTCACAGGAGAGCATCTTGGGCTATACAGCTGGATGAAGACAGAGAGCAAGAATGAACCAACTGTGTTAAGTCTTCCTACATCTCTGCTATCAAACGGTGGAAGTTCTCCAGAATTTTTCAAAAGTAGAGTTCGAGAATTAGGGACAATTGTAGACTTTAAAAGACACCTGACAGACAAGGACTCTTCTTGTGTTTTGGACGCGCTGAGCACTACTGCCCATGGGATTACCAGGAGCTGATGGCCCACGGCAGCCACAAACACACAGGAGGACCTCAGAGTGCTCACTCCCTGGCCAAGAGCCATCAGGCGTGGTCAAGCATGCAGAACACATTTTTTTCCCAAATGCAAAATCCCTTAAGGTAAACCCTTCTCTCTCACTAAGGGGTGAAGCAAGGAAAAATCTGTAGCAGCAGATCTATACAAGGACTTGCTGTCATCCCTACTCCCCCTCCTACCTGTAATTTTGTTTTACTGAGATTGAAGGATAGGATAAGAAAGCTGGAGTGATGGGAAATCACATGATTACATTAAGACAGAAGAAAAAGTAAAGCAAAAGTATCTAAATTACCTGTAAAAACGAATTTTAAGAAATATTGCTAGTGTTCAGGTGTGCAACAACTGCATTCCTGAAACTTTTTGGGAAAAGAATCATTTTAACTGCACCTGAGAGACTGGTGATTTCAATGTGTGCTACTAGAAATTTATAACATGTAGAATCCTTTTATGAAATAATGTACTTCAAAATCATCTTGTGTAATCATGATGTATACAAACCCTTACTAAAGCCACTTAAACACAGATAGGCGCACAGACTGAAGTAAACAGGAACTGAGACTAAGGGACGGGCAGAGCGAATGTGGACGAGGAGGACAGAAGTCCTGCATCCCCACAGATGACCTGGTTTACTTTTCTGTGAGACCAGGGCAGCACCTGTCTCTGGAGCCAAAACACTTGGGCTACCTCCTTCCCCCAAAACGGAAACTGCTTTTCTTTTGTGTCTTCAACTCTGCCAGTTCTAATCCTGTCCCTCTACTCTCTCCCCTCCAGTGCCTCAGGCCAGAGGCCACCTCACACAGCCAAAGGTGGGGAAGATGGCCCTGAGCCGAGGTGGGCCTCAGCCAAGGGGTGCACGTGTGCCAGGAGCCCCTGAAGCCCAGGGTGGTGCAGAGAAGAAACACCAGTCCTGGCCTCCCCTTTGGGAACACCTACCCACCAAGGTGGCCAACCAGGAAGACTCTTCTGGAGAGAGAGAGCCGAACAGGCTGGCTAGCAGAAAGCATAACAAAAACTTGGCAGCCTTGAAAAAGCTTACCTGCATACACCATGATCAACTGGAAAGCCACCCTATATTTCCCAAGGAAGTGGCGAGAAGGTACACTGGGCAGAGGAGACCACACCGTCCAGCATGGCAGGCCTAGCTGCCCTAACAAACAGCCTGCCATGTGGAAAAAGGAAAAGGCTTAGCTAATAAAAGGCCCCTTGAGTACAATGACTTCATTTTCTTTCATTCTGTTTAGATTTCTCCATCTAAACTTTGTCTTTCTGTGATAAAGAAAGGTGGAACTTAGGGACCAGCAGGCTCACTAAGACAGGCTTGAAGTTGGCTTGCCCAACAAGCCAGGTTCAGGTGCCCAGCACTGAGGAACTGTCTTAGGGATCTCACTGAGCAAAACACCCCGGCCCAGCACTTTAATTTAGTGCAGAAGGTAGTGAAATGAAGGGATGCTTAAGTACAACAATTTCAGAATCAAAGGTGGGCTGGCTGGCCTCTAGGATATCACTGGTCAGTCTTTAAACCTAGGGATACTGAGCACAGGGGTCATTAAAATGCTTGACCCCCAGATGATACAGTATCTGCAGTGTGTAGTGTTGGGTTATCCAACAGCTGGTCCATGCACGTGTTTAAGGTCTCAGTAAAGCTGGGACTCATACAAAATCTCTTCTGAAAGATTGTATTAAAATAAAATATTGCAGTAGACACCAAGGAAAAAAAGGTCTTTTCCTCTGTGGGACTTAATTCATAAGTACTTTTTGCCTCATATTGTTTTTATTTTCATTACCAACATTTTTTCATTGCTTAGACTTTTTCAAAGATTTTATTTTGGCCTGAATAGGTAAAAGGAAACCACACTGCAAAATCTTAGGCCTCCACCTGGCTTCCAGGGCACAGGTCAGAGGTCATAGCAGATTGAGACAGGCCCTCTACAGTAACCTTCCAGATGCTTTTAGAGGCTTTGGGAGTCACAAAAAGAAGGAAAAAAACAAACAAAACAAATGCTAGGAGAGGTTGTGAAGCCATAATCTGTTGCTGGACAGTCACCAGATGTGGGAAATACTTTCCAATAGTGTAAGTAAAGGCCAAGCGTTCTCATCATCTGCTTGAATGTATGTTGGAAGACAACCCCCACCCCACCTCCTTTTTTGGAGTGGGTGAAACCTCTGATCCTACCAACCTGAGAGACTAAGAGCTGTACTTCTTATTTATTTGCTGAAAACTATGACAGATCCAATCCCATTTGAAGTGAAATGATCTTAAATACTTCCGGGGCAACTGTTCTGCTTACATACAATTAACGCTCATTAAGGTAAGTGACTGTGCTCAAATATTTTCACCATGATTAAAAAGTACGTAATTCTGAAAGGTTGACTAACAAACAGAATGATATGTAATCAGATGGAAGGCATGAAAAATAAAATTTGGGGTTTGTGAAAAGAACCAGTATTTTCCCATACACATAGCACTATTTGAATGTTACCCTTCTCAGATGTCAATTATTTGCACAGTCAATGATGATTTTCTCTATTCCCAATGGAACTGCCTTCTTGAATTTTTAGTGTTGTTTTCCCAAAGACTATTCCCAGATTTTATGCCCTATGACTTGGCAGCAATGATGGATTTTTGGCTATGGTTTGTCACAATTTACAACGAATATGTATTTTAATATGAAGACTGGGAGAATTATTTGCATATTTATAAAAACCAAAGAAAGTAAATTTGAGATGTAGGGTTTGGGAAGCAGGTTTGAGCTTTTACTGGGAGTTGAAGTGTAAACATTTCTGAGTTCCCCTAAGATGTCCAGACAAATATAATAGTCTTCTTTGTTCAGAGCAATGACTTCTAATCTTAGATTTGTGACACCGCTGGGTGTCTCCAGATACCTCTGGAGGTGCTGTAAAATTCCCTCCATAAAATGCTAAGTAAAATAATTTAAATCCACTTAAAAAATATGCCACCGTTTGGAGGCAAGGATGATGTTGTGGAAGTAAAAGAACCATCATAGTAAGTCCAACAAAAGCTTAATCCTTGAATCATATTTTAGTCTAAACCAATTTATAGGAATAGATAAAATAAAGAAAAATTTAAATGAAGACATAATTTGTATGTGTGATTCTGTGGTTGGGGAAGGAGCTGGGTACTTGGGACACTATTTTTGTGGAAAACCTGTTTTGATCTGTTTATTACTAATGTCCGAATTAGCACTGACTGGCAATTGGAAACTCAGTTCACAGCCACTCACCACCTACTTGAACTATGACAAGTGACCCTAAAGGTGGCTTAGAGGATGTCTATTCTGTATTAGTTTCTCTTTAAAACAAACAAACAAGACCCATGGACGCTGGCAGTTAGGCAGGGTAAGCTTAACTTACTTTGTCAGCTTTTCCCTCAATTTCTGACTGAAAGTGTTACCCTGAGAGGACGTGGGGTATGTATACTGCTCTGGGGTATCCCCGTCCTCCACAGTCACTGGGGGGTTAGCAGCTAACAGTCAAGCAGTTTGCCACTGTGAAGCCGGCTTACTACCACTGCACTTCACTATAGCTTCCAAATTTTCCTTAACAAATGTTTGCTGATGGCTTATTACCTCAGGCTTCACAGCTCTCTTTATTCAGAGCAACCACTTCAGTCATCTGATAAACCTGAACAAGGATTTCTTCAAGAGTTTTACATATAGGCACTCAAAAAAGACATCACTGAAAAAAAAAGTTTTCATTAAACAGGCCAGCCTTTTCCCAAGAGAACTCCACTTCTGTTTACTTTTTGTTTTTCATACCACTGCCTTTTTAAATTTAGATCCACATTTTACAGAAGCCTTAGAATTCCAGTGATAAATTCCTTACCAAATAATTTTCATTTAATCCTTTATCCACCATGTTGCCAAGACTTAAGAAAAGTTTCTTTTAAACTAGGTCTTTTGTATCACACTTTGAAAGTTGTCTCACAAATCAAATATCTGAAAGTTTTAAGAAAAAAGTATACTTACCTTATTTGTAGCAGTAGCCCTGGATCCTGGGACCACCGGTACATTTGTCACTTGAACCGAAAGATAATTATTATCTATGAGTGGCCAGGCCCCTTCCACTTTGCATGTCTGGAAGTGATCCTTGAAAGTTCTAAGGTGAGGATCGCCGAACAAGCCACAAAAAAGGTAGCTGGGAGGGTTCTGGCTCTCTCCCCTGGGCTCTCTGGCTCCTGTGTGGCTGTGATAGTTACAGGGGTCATGCGTCACTTCAGGGTTGGTAGAAGATGTAGGCCCATCCTTGGAACAGTTCCTCTGGCTCATGAGGTCACTGATGCCCAGCACAGCAGAATGGTACACCAGGTTACCACGGCAGGCTTTTGAAGTTCGCTGGGTACAGCCGGCATAGGCACGCAGGGCCTTGCAAAACTCAGAGTCAAAGCCATCAATGGCAGAGTTCAGGTGTGAAGTCAGGGACACAAAGTCTGTGGTACATTTCTGGATTCGACATTGGGCTGGCTGTTGGCAGTCACCTATGGCAAAGAAGATAAGACCAAATATTTTAAAAATGCTACATAACTTCCTGAGCTACATGAGAAAATGACATTCCCCTCTGGGAACTGTTTGTTCTATTTCATATACTCCTATTTTAAGGTCTTCAGAAAGAAGGCTGCATTGTGCTTCTGTCTCTCACAAATTAAGCTCCTCGGAGAAAAACTGCATGTGCTTAGTTAACTAAAAACTTTAAAACACAGCCATTGTGAGTGAACATGAGCCTAGTCCACTGTTCATAGGTTAAAATTACAAGGGCATGGTAAATGAAATATTTTATCAACCTGGCTATTGTTCACAGATTTTGAGACATTTGCTCTAATGCCAAGCCAAGGATGTGAACTTTGTTTTGATTTTGAAAACTGCACAAGTAATTTGCTTGAGAGAGTACTGTCTATGCATAAAACTGTGATTAAAGTTTCCACATTTCAGGTAGGGGAATATCTATATTATAGCATGATTAGTCAAAACACCTTTATCTGATTCTATACTGCTATAGGGTAAGAATGTCAAGGAAAAATTCAGGTACTGAGCAGTCCTGCACTTCCTGAGTGATGTTTATTAGCAAACTGTATATAAACTGACACTGAATCTCCTGGTTTCCATAAAGTGTAAGTATTCTCTTAAAAAAAATGATTCATTTGACCTATGTATTCACTTCTTCCTTAAGATTTATAACCCTAGGATCCCAGCTCCTAAGCAGTTCATGAGTAAAGCACGCTAAATTCAAAAAGTATACAACACTGAAGTCATGCTGCAGAGACAGATGATTGTACAGACTGCCATTTTTTTTTTCCAGAAACATAACCAGAGAACTACAGGACACAGAATTCTTTGAGTTTATATAAACTTTTTTCTCTTTTCCTTCAATTAACAATTCATATAAACTTAATGATTTAAGCAAAGTTAAAAGAAGTAATGAAAACCAAGCATTACTGCCCTACTATTTAAAAAGTTAATTTTCAAGTAATGTTTTGCCAATGGCTTCTCATGTAAAAATGTATAAAACCTCTCAAAGTACAAAAAACACAAGATTGCCAATACTAGGCTAGTCGCATGCACCAGCTTAATACTCTGTTCCATAAACTGGGAACACGAGAATTACTAAAAGGAAAATGTTTTTCTTTATCATCTACCTCAAATTTTATGGAAATGAACTGCAACATGCATTTGTGTTAAATATTCTTTATAGGTCTCTAAACTATGCAAGAAGTCTCAATCTCTTAAGTCTTAGGCTCCTCATATGAGCAATGACACAGATATTCTAAAACGATCTTTGTGATCTTTTCCAGGCATAAAATATAATTCCTGTTCTAAACGGGGGAAAAAAATATCAAGAGTCAGTAGAGTATTATTAAATGTACAATTATTTCAAGATGTGGGCATAACAAACTTCATGGATAAAATCAAGATTTAGGACTTTTTCCAATAAAGACTTAAAACTAACCCTAATATCACCTTAGAAAGATTATTTTAATATTCTCAGTAAACTGTTTCTACACCTGAACATAATAGCCTATAATCTGTTTCTGGCTTCAGCAGCAGAGGAAAGGGTAGGACGTGAAGACCTCTCAAGACACCTCCCCCGATTTTTAAATTTCAAAGACAATAAAAGGAAAAATGCTTAAGTCTACATTGGCTATTCATTTTAACCTGAGTAAAAGGGAAGAAAATATTTTAATATTTTGGGGCTATGAATTTATAACTATTACTAAAATTGTACTTAAAAAGTAGCCCCAATAATATAGCTCCTCATATTACATATCCTCTCTCCAAAGTAGATGAAGTCATTTTCAGCTATTTTTACTCAAAAAGCAGAAATGGTAACAACCCCCACCCCAATGAATTCACAATCCCCTAAGGCATTAAAGCCATTTTACAGATGGGAAAATCAAGACAAAGGGATAGTCAAGGCTTTGTCCTCATTGGACTATAAACAGCTGGCTAGTATGAAACCCCTATGCGGTGCCTCTCTTCAAATCCCATTATCCTTCCTTTGCATGTCACATCTCCCCTCAATTCCGGTCTCTCACATTAGTACTTGATAGCTTAGACAAAGACAAGTCACTACTGTATCATTTTTTTTCTTTTAGAATCAGATACACAGCAAGCAGAAAGCAAGGAAATAAAAACTGGGCCAACCTCACTCTAACGAACAGCTCTTAGTCTACAAATAAAGGACAGCACAAGAACTTTCCGCTAAACCTGCAGTGGCTATTTGTTCTTTTTATGGTCTATAAAATCTATCCAAGCATACATTTACTTATAATTATTTCAAATAGTCATAAAATAGCAAAAGTAAGAACAGCATGGAAATGCTGATGAAACTGTGAAGAAGGGAAGAGAAGCAGAATTTAGATTCCCAGCTCCTTTTTGGTCTGTCTCCTCCCTGCCCCCAACCCTTTTTCACAGCAGGTCGGTGTTGATTCCTTTAGAAAATCCCACACAAAACACAACTCCTTGGGTTCTTTTGTTTTGAATGTGGTTTCTAACAGCTTGCTCAGATGATGGGAGGGAGGAGGGCTAAGGAGAGAACAGAGAAAGAGAGAGACAGAGAGAGACAGAGAGAGAGAGCGAGAGAGGGAGAGGGAGGGAGGGAAGGAGGAGGGAGAGAGAGCATTTGGATCAGCAGTTTCAACCCCATTGCAGCCTCCTGAATAATGACTAATTTGCAGCATACACCCAGAAATACCCAGGCTTCATGAATTTATAATGACAATGCACACTTTGCCTGTTACAGGCAGGCAGTAAAGTAAGCCTCCTGTCAAAATGCCAAGACAATGCAGAGCAGAAACAATCTTGAGGATGTCGCCAAGAAGGCCATGAAGTTTATGAGTAAGCAAGTAACTCCCATACTGAATCTCTATTCAGGAACTGCAGAGGTTTGCTTAAAAGAAAAAAAAAGGAATAAATATACTTTCTTCATTTTCCAAGGGCAGAGCTCAGAATGTGCAGTTACAGATCTCTGATTTTCAAGATGGATCATCTGGGAAAGGTGTGATAGTATTTTCACTCCAGTTAATGAAAATACATACATTTGTGGTTCTAGGGCTTTTGTTAACGATTCAGACATAAAAACTTCACCATTCAGGATGGATTCCTCCATGCTGGGACTTCACGTGTGAAATCTGCAGCACAATCAGTTCAAAATAAAAGAAACAAGATATGCTGAGGCTGAATTAAGTGAAATGGGGAGCCTTATGGGGCACCCAGGGAAATTATATGGATCCAGGCTTAAAATGGGGCAGCCCATCTGCAAGGAGCACTGAGCACTTCCTGCTCTCAGCAGAAATGAGCCCTGCATTTCAACAGCACCACTCCTCAAAGACATCTCCAAAGGAGCCCTCTTTTCTGTAACCAGATTAACTGCTGCCCTCCAAGAAGTGGTCCACAGACATCGCTCACTACAGCCAACTCTGGGTAGAATCTAAAAGTGACCTTAGAGAGGGCACATTAACACCCCGAGAGAATTGTCACATTCCAAGTCTTGAACTACTAAGCACCTTAATTTTCTAAACCTTTAAACTAACTTCTTAGTTCTTAGGACTTTCATGGGACCAGCAAAGAAATCATCAAGGACTACATTCCAATCTTGTCCTAAGGCCTTACAGCAACAATACCCAAGCAGTCAGGAGGGACACTGTCCTGCCTAGCACTTCAATTTCCATTTCAAGAAACCTACACTTTGACATTACAGCTACTTATTTTTTACACAAAATAATGAATTCATTTTTTGACACATCATGAACAATTTCCCATGTAACTGTAAGTAGATTGACATTATTTTCTAAGGTTCTACAGTTACTAATTTAAAGCCTTAATCACTGTAAAACTTGTCACTGCATTCTTTCTTAAGGCATCAGTCTGCTTTCCCAAGCGACAGTGTTAAAATGCAGCTTTTATATCACAACGCAAAGTTACACAAGTAAATTAAGTGGTCTCCTCAAATGCCACATTTCTTCCCCATTACTTAAAAGACCTCCCTGATTTGTAGCAAGTCTGCTTGACTTAACAAGAAAATGAAAATTAATCCACACAGTTGGATGGCATTGAAGTTCAGGATTCTCCTGATCAGAGAGAGCCCTGTGACTTCTGTCATACAAACACAGGGCAAGAAGATCTGGAAAAGCTCTTTTTAGTTAGGTATCTAATGTCACAGTTATCTTCAAACTAAAAGATAATTAATCTTTCAATTTAGCATTAACTCTTTGTCTAGACAAACTCCTATAAGTGTTACTTATTTGTAAAGAGCACCCTAGATTTTGTCCTCAGCTTTGAGATATAACTGCCATGTAACACTGAACTGATGAAACAATTTAAAAAGAAAATAGGTATCACGCTAGGACGCTCATCTGTAGGGTTAGCTCGCCAACAACAGATTCTTCACGGCTGCTTCCAGAGCGAAAGCAATGGCTTCCAGGAAGCAGTACGAGATCTGTCAACCCCTCCTGGAGACCCCAAACAGGCGGCTCGCCACAAAGTACGAGTTTTTCCAAAGGGGCTGAAAGCGGAATTAAAAGCAGCTTTCACAAATGGGAAAGAAATCCGTTTAATGAAGTTCAAGTTACTTCGAGATTAACTTGGTTTTCAAACTCTGGTGAAAATCTTTCCATCTTGTGAGATTTCTTCGCCTCGCCGCCACCCCCAACTCCAGAGTAGCAGCACAAGGCTCCTTGTCTCTCCTGCGAGGCGGCGGCGGAAACCTGATCCCAGCCTGGCTTTCTGTAAACACCGGCGCGCAGAGCCATAAAGCATCCGGAACGTGTGTCCCCGGCGCGCAGCCCGCTCCCGCCCGCTAAATCTCGGATCCGCGGCCGTACCCAAGAGGTGGCCGAGGCGGGGCAGGAGGACGGAACGCGGGTAAGAGGCCTCTGCGCACCGTCGGGGAAGGTGCACGTCGGGGGCCCGGGAGGCCTTCCCGGCGCGCCGCCCCTCCGCCCTCCGCCTGCAGGAGCGGGGGTTCGGGAACAAAGCGCGCGCCCGTACCTGCATGGAGCAGCCCGAGGCCGAGCAGCAGCAGCAGCAGCGCCGCCAGGGGCGGCGGGCAGGGCCGGGGACGGAGGCGCTGCTCAGTCCCGGCGGCGGCGACGGCGGCGGCGGCGGAGCAGGAAGGTGCTGCTCTCAAGCCCATGCCCGTCCATGCAGGTCTCGTGGGCTCCGGCGAGGGCGGCGGCGTGGGCGCCGTGGGGGATTCGGGGCCGTGGCTGCGGCATGGGCCGGGGGACGCGCCTCGCTTCCTCTTCTTCCTCCTTCAGGCCCGTGTCGGAGACCGGCCGCCGCCACCGCCGCAGCGAAAAGCGCGCCGCGGGCGGAGCGAGGCGGCGGCGGCGGCAATGGGGTGCAGCGGCATCGCGGCGGCCGTAGGCAGCAGGCGGGGGAAGAGAGGTCGGGAGAGAAAAGACACAAAGACCGTGAGTGAGTGCCCAGCCCGGCCCCGAACGCGCGGGGCGCTCCGGCCCCAGCCAGCGTGGGCTCTGCGGGCGTGGACCGCGGGTGTGAACCAACGGGAGGCGCGCGCAGCCCTGCCGAGCAGCTGCGGGCGGCCCGGAGATCTCTGCGCGACCGCCCCTACGATCAATCTCAGCCCCGCACTGCCGCCCCGCCCACTCTACACTTGCCAATCCGCGTCGTCCCCACCCCGTTAGCGCACCTCCCTCCCGTCTCATTGGCTGTGAGCACCGGTCGGCTGCCCAGCCCGCCACTCGCAGGTCCCAAGGCGTCTGTCCCCACGCCTCCTCCCGCCTCCCGCCTGCTCAAGTGAATCCGAGTTCCGCGTCCGCCGCCTGTGTGTCCCGCCCACCGCGCCGGGCCCAGCCTCCTTCCCGCTCCCTCTTCTTCAGCCTCCGCCCCCTTCCGCAATTTACTGCTTCTTCGCGCCCGGTAGAAACAAGCGAGGCACTTCTCTCCCGCCGGCGTTACAAAAGAAATGGCCTTTGATCCCGCCTTGAATTAATGTGACCGGGTTCAATTTCCCGCCAGGGATTTTTTTAATTTTTTTTTTTAAATAACCCCACTCTGCCTCAAGCTCTAGGTCCTTGTAAGGAGCAGGCGCTTTTACCCAGCGGGCAGGTCTTTTCACAGCCAATCACATCTGCGGGACCGCGTTCCCAGCGTGTTGCGGACTTTTGGTAAAGCTTACACCCAGCCGCTTTGGGAATCCGACTATGACCTGAGGTCCCGAAGAGATCTGGTGGGCTTGGGAAGGTGCCCGCCAGCTCCCAGCGGAATTCTCTGGCAGCTGTGCGCGGCTCCGGTGTTATCGTTCCTTTGACATTTCCCTACCTGAAAGCCGCAGGGAGGGGTTACGGAGAGTGGACGAATTTAAACGTGTTCGGTTACAGTGTAATTAGATTAATGGAGACAGTTTTTAATGCAGTGTAGAATACTTATGCCACGATTTGTTGTTGCTCAATGGCTTTCCCACAGATTTTCATAGATTTTTAGCGGGGCAAAAACAATTGTCTGCCAGAAAAGAGGTTGCTGACTGAGGATTTAGGGAAGCATGTTGTGAGGTTGATGATAGGTTACAATTTGTTATCAGTAAGTGTGAAGTGGTATCTATCTACTTTCAAGAACAGCCTCAAGGCTGGGAACCACTTCATACTTCCCTCGCTTTTGTTGTTCCCCAAATGGCTCAGAGCTGCCATTTTAAATTCAAACTTACATCCAAAGCTTAGTTTGCAACTCTACCGGCCGCTTAGAATCTCTAATTAAGATTTTCGTGTCAACCACGTACACGTTAGTAGTCCACATATTACGATGTGCTAATCAATGGACCAGGATAATTGAGGGCAAACCTTAGATCACTCGTTTACTTATTAGACACGTAATGCATTGTACAAATCACTAGGTTCCTAATGAAGGATGTCTGTCTATTTTTACTGTAACTTTTCATTACTATTACACACTATGATGACTCAAGTGGTAAACACACCTTTCACTGCCCAAGATATAATCCAAGCCTGTGTACATCCATAGTATGCTTGATAATAGCTTCACAGTTGCCTGGAGAAATGACTTTTTGGAAAGTTCTCTGGTATGATCTTTAAATAATACCGTGGAGTAAATACTATTAGACCAAAATTTTACTTCCATATAACCAACGAAATGGAGTTGATGAAATGCTAGTAAATGTCTCTTAGAAAGTGACCATTTTTTCAAAGTATTTTGCTAACAAAGATTAACAGTAAGATGTTTCTTTTCCCTTAATTCAAGATTTAATTTGACCCCAATAATCATATTCAGAACACATAACCAAGAGTTAAGTGTCAAATTCAGTTTAGTTTGAGTCTTTTCGCTTGTGACTTTCTGTATTTTTCCCTTTGCTCCTCTTATCCTGTTGCTTAGGTACACGGGTGCTTTGGATTTTCTTATCAATAGAGGGCGTCCTCGAGTCACTGCAAATCCTGGTGTGAAATGGAACTGTTCTTTAAAGGTGAAACTTCATTTCTTCTAAGGTCCTTTACTGCTCCTCTGTTGTAAAATTTGACAAGCTCTAGATTTACAAGCCTAACATTTTACTTTTTATTGCTGCATAAGTGTCCAGGGGGAAATGTTAATTTTCACAATTAAAACGCAAGGTGGTTCCTATTTTCAAGACATTAGGTCAGTTGACACACACGCCGGGTAAATTCGGACTATTAAGCAAGATCCCTAATAATCACGGAAACCAAGAGCGTGAGGGAAGGGTCGCGTATAGCGCATCCATTCCTCCACATTAAATGCTGCATTAGTTAATGAGGATTTTATGACTCTTCAAAGAACAATCTGTGTAGGGAGCTAGAATACATACATAAAATTGATGACTTATAAAAGTTTTACATTTTAATCAGGAAAAAAAATTCAGTTAAGTGACAGCTTGCACAACTCACAGATGCCTGTTTCTTGCCTTTTGTACTCTTTCTCCCTTCGCCTTTGTTTTCAGGAAGGAAAGATGAGACCAGAGCAATGCAGTGAGGGGACCCAGCAAAGCATCCCATGGTATTAATGTACAAGTGGATAGAATTAAAACACATGTAAGCAACATTAATGGAGTCTAAACAAGATGCGGTTTCTTTTCCTGAACCTATACGTGATGTCTTAACTGCTCCCCTGTTAATATATCTCCATTTCCAGAAATCTAACACGAGGGTCTCTGTCTGCTTACAAATCACCTGGGGCAGTAGCTCGGGGTTGCGATTTGTGCAAACCACTCTAGAGTAAGGGCTCCCCTCGGCTCCCCAGTCCATGTTGTACGCAAAGCAGGGGCTGAAATAGCCCGGAGTCCGACAGCCCAGCGGCAAGCAGCTCAGTGTATTGTACTTACATCATTCTTAACCCTTCTGCTCCTGGAGGGGGCTTGGCGGGATCAGGGGGCCCCCGAGCTCCGGAACACGCAGGACCTGGGTGTGAGAGAAGAACCCCAGAAACCGGCGTGAGCTTTGCGCCCCCAGAAGATGACCTGGGGCGTGCGTGGGGCTCATCACCCGAGCATACACAACCGGTCCCCGCGATCCCTGCGGGCTCCGCCGTGGCTCGCGCGGCTCAAATCAGCAGGTGCAAAAAGCATTTGGGAGCCGCTTGCCAGCGCGCGGAGGTAATGCGCTTCCTGTCCATTTATCTCAGGAAACCAGCGCAGCCTTTCCTTCCAAACAAAATTAACCTCTCATTAGCCAGCCACTCACTCCCCAGAAGGCCTTAAAAGCTTTACCAGCTCGCTAATGTATTTAGGCTTTTCTTCCAGGCAAACGCCGCCGAGGCGGTCACTGCCATCAGCCCTGGGGGTTCCTCTGGGCTCCTCCAGGAGTCAGCCGCTTACCTCCCCGCAGCCTGAAATCTTGGAAACTCTGGCCAACCCAGATCCCAATTTGTAGCACTGGGCAGTCCAGACACCCTGAACGGATTTCTTATCAGAAGCAGCCAAACAAGTTCCCACTAATTTCACGATCGCCCCTCATATCAAATTCTCAGCTATCCTGTCTTCAAGGAAGGGGAAGGGTACGAGGAGGAACTTCAAAGGCCAGCTGTCGCCGGGTCGTGGGCGCAGACTGCCCTTTGGAGCGCCAGCCGTGTCCACAACGGTGCGGGAAGCACCGATCAGAGGTTTGGGGGGTAGTGTAAGCTAGGATCTAGCGGATGCCAGGAGTGCAGAACCAAATGTGGTTCTAGGTCTGCAAGTGACAAAATGGGACCTTTGCAGCGCTGGGGTTTTCTCACCCTGCCCCCCCGCCGCCCTGAGGCTGGCAGATTTATACCACACAGGTGGACCGAGACCTAAACCAAACAGTCCCGGCTGCTGCCTGCCGCCCGCCCCCCACGTCCCCCTGGCCCACCGCAAACTTCAACAAAATAAACAACTCACCACAGGCATTCCCTTGTCTGCTGCGCGACGCTTCCCAGCTGGGAAAATAAGCCTCAAGCCACGCGGCTGGAGCGCGGAGGGAAGGCAGCACGGCCCCCGCCTCTCTCCCCCAGGTGGGAGCCGCGATAACCCGGGACCGCTCCCCTCGTTCCCCGACAGCTGAGCGAGCGTTCGGCCAGGGGCTTCGCCCTTCCACCAGCGCAATCTTTCTGCCACTTAGGGGAGGGGGCGGGGAGGTAAATCTCTTAATTCCCTTCTGCTTTCTCCAAGCTGCTTTCTCCTCCGGTCTCAGAATAGACCAAATTTAGGGGCGTCCACTCCACCTTGCCGGCACCACACCGCCCCCTGCCGACACTACCCGGATCTTTCAAGAGCGGCTGCAGGGTAGCGGGGAGCGATGTCCCAGAACCCCAGCCTCCAGATCTCAACTCACTCTCGCCTCTCTCACCCTCCCACCCTAGCCCGAAGTCCTGCACAAAGACCCCTTTCAAGCTGCCAGCGCCACCCTCCGCGCCGCCCTCCAGTCCGGCCGCGTTGCCTTGGCCCACCCGCGGCACCAACCGGTTCCCCGTTGGTGACTGCCAGCCGTCGCCGGGGCAGGGCGGCAGTGGCCGCCTGAATGCTGTTCCCACTACGCGCCTCTGCATGGGCGCAGATGCGGACCCCGTCCCCCTTGCCACCACTTCCTCTAGCTGTCCACCAGTGGTCACACAATGCAACCCTTCTCTCCATAAATGATCTTTGAAGTCTTCCTAGTGTGTATAATAAATGGGGCAGGGTTGGGGGGAGGTGGCAGGAATGGTCCTCTGGACTTCGGCTGAAATAAGGAATCCAGGGATCTTTCCTGTTCCCCTAAGGTGCCAGTGTGGCTTGAGTTTACAGTTTAAGAAAGGCCAGGATAACGATTTGGGAATTACGAGGACAGAGAGGATTTAAAGAAACACCAAGGACAGGTAATGCAATTGTGTTATAAAGAACAAGCCCACAAAATGTTCGAGGAACGACAGACGACAGTCACTTGGATAAGAGTAGAAGGTGTGGAGGCGAGAGGGAAGGGATTAGCTTTTTTCCCCAGGCTAATCTTCCAAAGTTGAAAATAAGCATCACAAGTATTCAGCGGTAGTTATTGTTCTGTGCGTCCAATGTCTGGGACGAGCAAGTTGCTTCTTATTCAGGCAAATGTTCACAAGCATCTTGATTTAGGCATTTCACGGTTTGCCTCTTGAGCAGTATCTCTGCTCTCCAGCTTTCCTTTCCTTCTCCTGCCGCCCCTCCTCCTTATAGTTCCTGGGTCTGCCGCTAGAGGCAGCATTGGGCAGTGTAAGAGGGCAAGTAGAAAGCCAGCAGGGAGGATCTAGTCCTGACATGAGCAGGAGTCTTAGGCAACTGATTTAATGTCTTTGGAGCTTGGGGTCACTTTTAAGAAAAGTTGTGTTAGGAGCAATGGCTAGTTTCCTTCTAGCTCTGAAATTCTATGAAAAGGGACGCATCCTCAGTAGGTTACCTTTTAAAGTGTTTTCCCATCTTGCTTTATCTTCTTAAAGTGCCGATCAAATTGAACAACAAAAAAACTATGTCTTAAGGTAAATGTAAGATACACCAAAAAATAATCTTTTTGCTGCTGATAATTAACAAAACCAAACCGAACCAAAAAACCTGGTGCACTGAAACAAGGAATTTTAATGTCCTCACTTGCTTTGCTTTGGAAAAGACAGTCCAGCAATCAGCAGAGCTTTGATTTAGAACCTAACGGTGAGTCTCCTGTGTTTTTCTTTTCCCTTCCAACAATAAACGATAAGCTGCCATGTAAAGTAATGGTGAACAAGAGTTTAAAAAAAGCCCCGAGAGCCTGCCCAGAGAACGTTTTCTAATGCAGCCCTAGTCCTTCACTACTCCTCTGCTAAACTGGCTTTGGACAGCACAGAAATAGTAGGGACAGGCTGCTAGGATCTCCTTTCTCCCACTCCTTCCCATAAATATTGGTCAGTGGAACCTGGATACTAACTTGTTAATCATATAAATGCTTTCATTAGTTTAGCCTTATACTTTTCAGGGTTTTCAATTCACTACCCATTTTGGAACTTAAAGTCTTAGTTCTCCCTTTAGGTAACCTTATTTATTTCCTGTGGAATCTTTCCTGAAACGAAGACAAAAAGGGGTGAGATTTCATAATAAAGTATAACATTTTGAAGTGCAAATCTCTTGCTTCTTCAATTTCAACAAAAGAATTTCAGAATTACTTAGCTTTCATAGCAATGCACGCTCTAAAAAATTATTCATTAAAGAGAATTCTAAAGTGACTTTCATTGGGAAAAACGGTTCTTTAAGCAATAGCAGTGGAAAAATATTGAGAGCTTGTTCAGTTCTTAGGCTTTCATTTGCATAAATCATACCCGCCATGGTCCCATTCATATATGCTAAAAACATTTGTATTTCTAATTAGACCCTGGATATTCCATTAGAAAAGGACATAGCTTATCTTTTTCTCCCCCAATTTTTGTCTTTTTTCCCTTATCTCATTTTAATATTTTTTCTTACACCAACCAAAATTAACCACAGGTGGGAATAGAAAAAAAGGACAAGAAATCACTTTTCAGTAAAACTGACTTAGCATTTCTGTGTTGACTATAATGAAACTTTCTGATGATTCAATGTGTGTTTATACTATCTTCTGAATTTCCACTTAAATGTGATAGAACTTCAGCTTTAAAAATGTTCCGTTTATGTGTATATCCACCCTTCTGGTTCTCCAGGTCACAGTTTGCTTATTTTTGATGCTTCTAAGGTTTTCCTTTCACACAAGGGGGGAGTCATCCCAATGATCAGCACATGGAGCCGTGATCTGCACTTCTGGTTCTGTTTCTCTTGTATGTGTTGTTGAAGTTCTTCTCTAGTTTCAGACTGATGCCCAATTTAATAATTCCTTTACTTACTCATAATGTTCGAGAATTATTATTGCTAAGAAATTACACTATTTTAAATATTAGCAGGACTAATCATCAGCTTGGCTAGAAATTTTCATCAAGATCTTTTTTGTTTTATAGACTGTTTAAACTGAATAAAAACATAAAGGATCTAAGACCTACTTCTACTTTTGAAAGGGTGAGATTTGCTTTACTTTTTTCCCTTTATACAAAGACGTAAGACAGCTATCTTGAAACATCAGCTTATATGATGGTTAAGGTAAAGAATTATGATACACTGAAAATTTAAAAACTGAAACCTCTGGACACATAATGAGTGAACAAAGTAAATTAAAAAGAAAGGATCTCCTTTGGAAGATTAAAGTTATTACATTTTATCAGCAATGTGAGCATGATTTTCTAGAAAAATCGTGTAGTTTTACAGTATTCCTTTATATGTACACAGTAAAATAGGTGAATATTAAATTCATAAAAGCCAATATTCATGAAAATATATGTTATAAAAAAGAAAATAGACAATAATCTCCTTGAAGTGCCAGTAGAAAAGCTGTATTTTTTTGCCTGCTTGCTAATAGAAAAGCTTATGATATGGATCTTCTAACTATTCAGCAGAGTGCAAATAGTGGATTATGGCCTTTTCCCTATGTATTTGTAGGTTATTTCAGTTGCAGTCATTACACACACACACACACACACACACACACACACACACAATCTTTTCTAGATCTTGTCATTTAAGTCTTAAGAAGCAAAATACACATCCCCAAATTCACTCTTTTACATTACAATTGCTCTATAAAAAAATAAACAACAAGAAGTTGGAAAAGAACATTTTAGAGAGGTTAATAACTGAGGTTACTTTTCTATGAACCAATTTAGACCTGCCATGGTAATTCGTAGTTTCTTTCAGAAGCAGAATCTCTATCCCAACACTTAACTGTATACAACGTGGTAAGAACATTATAAAAATGTGACAAAATGGAATATACCACAATCCTTAAAAATACCATGAAATCTGAGATATATAGGACATTTGGATACTCTCAATTCTAATAGCCAATATTACAATCAAGAGTTTTAGTAATAGTAATAATAAAAATCCCAGGTCTATTCTAACATAATAGATGATACGCTTACATCTTACCAATATTAGAGAGAATTCCAAGGAGCTACTTTTTAACTTAAAAAGTTAAAACAATAATGGGACCAAAAAAAATCAGTGTTCAAATAATCACAAGTGCAAAAATAGTAAGTTTTTCCTTTTTCTTTTCTTTTTCTCACATTTCATCACCCCATCATTTCAAATTGTCTAAGCTATATAAACAGGCTCAGAAGCAAGTTTATACTCAAGCCTGAGGAGGAACCCAGGGATGAAAACAGTGTGTATTTATCAGGAATTGAGTGAAGGAAATCTGGCTGAATTCAAGAGTGGGACTTGTTTCAAAAGCAAAGAATAGCTTAGGACTCGGAGAGGATTCTCAGAGGCCAGGTTTTGCTGTTGACTTGTTAATGTGCTCTTCAGCTGTCCCAGCTGGGATTGTCCATCAACAAAGAATGTGAGGAATGCGTGACTGGTGCAGGGATCTATGTGAACTAGATGAAGTTTCCCTTTCCTCTGCCCCTAGGCTGGGCATGGGGGTGGTGCATGAGGGAGATGGGTGATTACCCCAGACCCTCTGGTAAGCGAAACAGAGTCCAGGATATTTGCTCTGTGTTAAAGAAAGGATCTGATACTGATTTATGTTCAAATACAAATCTTCTCATTTAATACTTTCATTAAGCAAATTATTTAAGCACCCACTAATGAGCCTGGCAGTCTTCTAAGTCCTGGGGAGACTGCTTTTAACAATTCAGACAAGACCCTTAAGAATATATGTTGGAGCGGTGGGAGAGTAAGCAGGTGAAGAAGTCAATAAAAAATGACTTTAATAATGCTATACAGTTTAAGGAGTCAGGTGCTATGATAGTAACAAAGATGAGAAGGAGCCACCATTAATGAAAAGGATGTTCTGAGATATCTTGCTAAGGGCTGTAATGAAATGGAGGAAAGGGTTCCAGACAGAGGTCAAGGTCTCAGGTCTGAACAATCTTTGAGTGTTCAAGGAACATAAAAAAAAATGTGGCAAAAAAACCTTACCTGGGAGAATTTTTAGCAATTTAAGCAGAGTTCTTTAATTCCCAGCTGGCATTTGAGTGAGGGAGACTTCTTGGTTGTTTCCAAACCTCAGGAAGATAAGAAACAGAAATAGCATTTATTTAATCACTGTTAGGAGTGACTCCTGATGTCTGACTCTCATAGGATCTAACTACCTTCACAAGCTCTCTCTGAAACTTGAATTATTGTTCTCATTTTATAGATGAGGACATTTAGGTTGAAAGGTTTAAGAACCTGCCCAAAGATGCATAATAAGTGGTTGGAACAGGATTTGAAACAAGTTTTTCTGATTCTAAAGTCTAGTTGTTTCCACTAGACTTCATTACTCTATATTATTTACCAGACAGTCCTGGTGTTAGAATGCACAAAGATTCATCATAAAAGTTTTGAGCCACTGATAGATAAAATGAGTGTGGTTAACAGGAGAATTAAAAATGAACTTGTTGGGAAAAAACTGTAAGAATTATTTTTAGAAATTTAAAGTTAAACCTGTGGTCCTCTTTTAGCCCAATCAAGAAGTGCAGAAAGCTAAAGAGTCCCTTATTTCCTCAACACACATTCTGCCACTCTATACAGTTCTTGTCAAGACTTGAATGAACACTCTTAAGTGAATGCCCAGCAACCTATGGTTTCATCCTGGGATGAACAGGTTTTGATACACACACCTTAATGGGAAGTCTCTAAGTTTCTAATGAATTTATGAGCACAATTATCTTACGGACATCCTCTTCAACTTAATTTGTACCATTTCCTTATTAGTTTCTTATTTTGGGCTGTGTGACTATGGAAATACATAAGGGGTGTCCATGGTGCCAGGTACACAGTAATACTAGTTGTTTCATACCACATTCAGAACCTGGAAAGAGAACTAGGGGTAATGATGTGGAAAAAGTCTAATAGAGTCACAGTGGAAAATAGCCTGGGTCACCAGTGCACAGCTTGGTAACTGCACTCATTAGCAGTTTACACAGGTGGATAGTATCATATCCATTTACTTATTCAGTTAGTTATTCAGCCAATGAATCTTTCAACAAATATTTATTGAACAACGTACTGTGTCAACACTCTTCTAGGCACTAGGGATATATCAATGAAAGAGAAAAGAGGAACAAGAAATACGTCCATGAACAAAATATAAAAATCCTCCTTCTTCCTAGAGGGAGAGACAGACAATAAACATAAACATGAAGACATTCTAGAGTACATTAAAAGGAGTAAAGTGCTCTGATAGCAGGATGTGGAATGCTGGTTTGTATGTAGAGTGTTCAAAAGGGTGGTTAAGGTGGGCTTTGCTGAGAAAGTGATATTTGAACAAACAACGGGAAGACTTGATTGGGTGATCTGTATAGCTATCTGAAGGAAGGAAGTTCAAAGAAGAGGTAATTGCCTCTGCAAGATGCTGAGGCAGGAGCATGCCTGGCATATTCAGAAAGAGAAAAGAGGCCAATTTTGTCAGAATCCAATGAACAGGGGAGAGTGGAAGGCTATGAGTTCAGCAACATCATGGGGGCAAGACTGTGGAGAACCTCAAGGTCAGTGTAAGGATTCTGTCTGAATTTGGAAACTTTTGGAGAATTTTGAGAAGATGGTTGACATGTTCTGAATTTTAGAAGTTCACTGATGTTGTTTTGTTGAGAATATACCAGAGCCAGGCAAGGGTAGATGCTAAGAGTTCAATGCGATGGTTACTTCAATAGTTCATGTAAGAGATGTTAGTGACTCAGACCAGTGATGATAGCAGAGGAACTGTTTAGAAGTGGTTATATTCTGTGTATGTTTTGATGTCTAAATCAAAAGGATTTCTTGATGAGGTGGGATGTTTGAGAGCAAGAGAAGAGTCATGGATGACTTTGAGGCTATTGGCCAGAGGCACCATCAAGATGGATTGCCATCGCCTGAGCTAAGAGTTGGAAGGCTTTTGTGTGCAAAAGACAAAATGCACCAGATGATTAAGGAGATGCTTTTGTTCAGTCTGCTACAATAGAGAGGATATTCATTAATGAGACCCATCTCAAAGAAAAGCAAAGGACCTTGAGGAGAGGCAGATAGACAAGGGAGTCAGCAGGTCACCTTTGTGAGGAAGGATGGAGAGGGCTCTTTGAGTCATGGAGGAAAGGTGGAGGTGAACTATCTTGGAATATCTGGGGGTGAAGTGGTGCTTTGGGCTAAACCATTTCTTCAAATGCAAAACGGTGGCAGTATGGGGCTCAGGTAAATTTAAATATTGTCTGGGGGGAATAGCAAAAGTTTAGTTTTGGACTTACTGGGTTTAAGATTTCTTGTTGTCTTCCTAGTGAAAATCCTTTCAAATTTCCTTGCCTGACATCAAGATGTTTGCTGCATCCCTGAATTCTCACACTGCATGTAAAAATACATTTTGAATAATCCATTTTATTTCATTTCAGCATACAGATGAAGTCTCAGAATTATTTTTCTTGCTTCTTAAATATTTTTGTTTGTATACCAGCCTTCATATTACTAACCTATCTATTTTTAATGAAGTTGGAGGCAAGTTTTCCTTCATCTGATACTTCAGATATTCCATGTCTCAGTGACAGGTCACAGAAGACTGCTGCTGGGTGTTCTTCATGACTGATTTCATATTCTCACCTTCCACACATATCATGCGTTATCTCCCCTTTAGGCACTTTGTTGTCCAGTCCATTAGAAAAACCATACCTTTCTTTAGGAAAGTCTCCTAAAGATGCATGCCAACCTTTTTGATAATTATATATAATAAAATACATTAAACAGTGCTCTTAGTTATAGTGTTATAAGGTTATTGGGTTGGATTTTCACCAAATGCCTACCAACGCCCCTCATAGAGTACCTTGCATTTCATATGAAATTTAAGACAGCAAAAGTTTGATCAAACTAGCCAAAGAAGTGATAAGAAAAATGTAGGCCTTCTGGGAAAGAGATTGGGAAAAGTAGACTGCAAATTATATGTTTGAAGAATGAGAGAAAGAGTGAGGATACCAAGAACAGCTGAGTTTAGAAATCTTAGAAGTAAAATTTAAGACACAAAAGGAAAAAGAATGAGAGCGAAGTGTGGCTCAAAGACAAAAAACACTTGTAAAACGTAATAAAATATTATCAACAAACTTTGCTTGTAAATTTGGGAGTTTGATTTAGACCATTCTCTTTATTTTGGGAAAAGGATGACACAGATTTAAAATAGTCCATAGTTGGGACCTATTTTATTATTACCTGGTTTTTGCTCTAGGAAAGCTTTCTAGAAATCATTCTAACTAAATTATCTTAATTAAAGGAGGAAATAAGACTCAGAAACCAAAACTCTATGAATATATTATCTTATAATTCTCACAACAAACCTACAATCCTACAGACCATTATTTTCTTATTCTGTAGATAAGGAAATTTAGAAGGTATGGTAACTTAACAAGTCATGCTCTTTTTTTCTATGGCTTGTAGGAAGTGAAGAGGTAGCAGTCAAACCCATGTCTATATAAAGTCTCTTAACCATTTACACTTGGTACTGTTTTCCATTTATATATTATTCATGAGTTCCATCATTTTCACTTTGTCTTCTTTTCTGGACTAACATATTCCTGTAGTTTCTGCAGCAAATATGTTTTTTCTTGTAATCTTTTGTTAATGCTTCTCTCCTCTTCTGCATGATGTAATTTGTGTCTCTTGCATTTCATAATACTTCCAGAAAAAACTTTGCTTGGTACTAAACCAAAACAATGCAAATGAAATCCACACAGTTGTGTTAAATACTATATTCAATAAGGAATAAAATGTATTATGGAATTTTTGTGTTAGTGACACATTATTGACATCTCTCAGTGTTTCTCATGCTCTTTGGTGTCCTCTTCTCATTAGTGTTTTGTGGTACTTTAATCTCTGTGAGCCACTTCACTTTTTGCTGTTATTGAATGAAATAAATTGTTTTTAACCTTTTTTCCAACTTCTCAGGTTTACATTCTATTTTAATCCTAATTTTCAAAAACATTGTAATTCTTCTAATGATATATAAATTTGATTAATATAAACATGTCCACTTCAAGCTTTTAATAAAAATATTGAATAATACTGGTTCCTAAAGGACTTCTGTGGAACTCTAGGTAGCATTTTCTTCCATTGGATATCTTACATTTATAAGTACTTTCTGGGCTTGTTTTTTCTCATATGGCTTTTTTTAAAAGAAATGTCATCTAACCAGTAATTTAATTTCAGTTTCTCACATATCTTGTGACAAAGAAATTAACACACACTATGTTTTGGCTTAAATACTAGTTCCTAGGTAGAGCTATTTTGGCTATAGGTGTTTTTGATCATTTTGCTTTCCCAGCTGCCAAAATTCTGATTGCCACTGAGAATTTTGTGCAAGGCTAAGTCCCTGAAAAACAAAAAAATTCAGGCTGTGTGCACCTGCAATTTCATAACTTCATAACTTCAAGAATGCAGTTTCAGCCATGGATTCTGGAGCAGGTCAATACTGGGTAACCTATTGAGCGAGTCAAGAAAGAAATCAGGAAGCTGGTTTCAAGCCTGTAGCTCAACTCTATGAGAAAGAGATCATTCAAAATGTAGCATATCATTGAATTCACTATATAAAATTTACCTTTCTAGTGTTTATCACAAGGAATCTGGGTCTTGGTATATCCTTTGATTTTTTCTATACTTCTTTGCAAGGTATGCCATGTTAACTCCCTTATTTTCTTAAACTGTCAAGACTGATGTCAAACAAGAGGTCAATCAAGTCCCATTTTCCCAATGTGAAACTTCCAGTTTCTGTTTGGGTTCCTGCCAGAATAAATTTATTGTGATGAAGTCCTCAATTTAATCTTTCTCTTCTATTTTCTTAAAAATAACTCAATAGAGCATAAAGGGAAACATCCCTCCTTCCCTTCCTTCCTTCCTTCCTTCCTTCCTTCCTTCCTTCCTTCCTTCCTTCCTTCCTTCCTTCCTTCATTCCTTCTTTCCTTCCTTCCTTCCTCCTTCCCCTCCTGCAGAGGATTTCTAACCAGGAGGGTTAAAAAAAAGAAAGTTTTTCGACATTTTAAATCAAACAGGAGAAAGACCTCTCTTATGTACCTTTTATCACTGTCCTTTGCTCTGAGGACATCAGATAATTGACAGGACACTTGGAGTTTTCTAATCATCCACCCTCCCAAGTTGGGTTTGACAATATACAGTTTGCATCTAGATACTGTAATTTAGAGCTGAAGAATCCGAGTTTTTTGAGGTGAATTGTGCCATAATTGTTTTAGGGATTTTTTAAAAAAGACTTTTGATTATATCATAATTATGATTCGTGAAGAGTGTTAAGCTTGGTAGCTTTTATATCTACATTTTAGATGGTTAATCATATATTATCTTGTAGTTCCTGGACACCAACAAAACTTTATTGAATAAATAAGTATTTGTAGAGGGAAAATAGAGACTTTCTGGCTTATTTTTTACAACGCATTTTATTAACAAACCTATTTAAGTAGTTATTCCTGGAATGATACACAGGAAAGGGAAATACATGACATCACATCAGAAATATCCACAATAGATTACTTTTATTGTGTCCAAAAACTGTATTTATGACCCAGTCTATGTCACACAAAACTAAATTCCAGGTTGTTATTCCTTACAAAAGCATTGTAAATTCACCACATACATTCTGATAATCAAAAATAATTCTGATGTCTTAAAAGTTATAGATAGCAGCTCCATAGAAAAAAAGATAACTACGAATAAAAAAAGAAATATATACAACAGATAAAGTCTAATATATCTGTCAACTTTTTGGTATGCTGATGACCCTGAAGGAAACGTATTATCAGGAAAATGCTTACTAAGAAAGACTTGGTCCTGGAAAGGCGATTCACTGTATTTTCTATTTTTGGTACTCAATTTTCTATACTTCAGTAGCACATATTTTTCTTAGTTTGCATTTTTGCAATATGTTCACAAGAAAGACACACAGATATTTTGAAACAAAGCAAACAAGGAAGAGGATAGGCAGATGTACAGTGGAAACAATAGATAGAATTCAAAACATTCAATAGTTTACTAAGGAAACTGGTTACATGCTATAGTAAATTCTATGAGAAGGAGCTAATTCATAATAATTAACTTCATAATTTAAAATTTAGTCTAAACGTCTCTTTTATTTATTTATTTATTTATTTGTCTATCATCTATTTATTTATTTTATTAAGATATGATTGATATATGCTCTTATGAAGGTTTCACATGAAAAACCAATGTGGTTACTACATTTACCCATATTATCAAGTCCCCACCTATAATCCAGTGCAGTCACTGTCCATCAGTGTAGTAAGATGCCACAGATCCACTCTGTGCCTTCTCTGTGCTACACTGTTCTCCCCGTGATCCCCCACACGATGGGCACTAAACATAATCCCCCTCAGTCCCCTTCGTCCTCCCACACCCCTCCCTTTTGTTAACCACTTGTTCATTCTTGGAGTCTCTGAGTCTGCTGCCATTTTGTTCCTTCAGTTTTGCTTCATTGTTATACTCCACAAGTGAGGGAAATCATTTGGCATTTGTCTTTCTCTGTCTGGCTTATTTCACCGCACATAATGTCCTCCAGCTCCATCCCGTTGTTGAAATGGTAGGATTTGTTTCTTTCTTATTAGCCTAAGCTTCTCTAATGATAAAACATCAGGACTACCTTCAGTGTTTCAGATTAATTTCCCTCTCACCTAAGCACATTTGCTGGCCTGTCATCATCATGTTTTTCCTTCCCAAATATAAAATGCTTTTTAGCATTTTCTAGTGGAGAATATACATAACAGTGTGCCTAGGTGGAATTCAGGGAAGAGTGAAAAGAGATGAAAGTTTTCTGGGTAATGAAAGTCAAAACTATAAAGTCTGTGCTCCAAACGCCTAGAGAGCCCACAGCTCGTGTTTCTTCCTCACTGGATAGCCTAGTAAATTTTGATGTGTGGTCCTTGGCCCAGCGACGTCAGCATCACCTGAGAACTTCTTAGAAGTGCGAATTATCAGACCTTACCCAGATCTAATGAATCAGAATCTCTGAGGGTGGAGTCCAGCAACCTGTGTTTTAACAAACCGTTCAAGTGATTCTGGAGCATGCTGTGATGATTTGGGGCTAGCCCCTTGCTACTCATAGGGCATACTCATCCTTAAACCAGCAGCAAAGGTATTGCCTGGAAGCTATCCAGGAATCCAGATTCCTGGGCCCTACCCCAGACCCATGGAATTAGAATATACATTTTAACTAGAGCCTTAGGTGGTTACTCTGCACATTAAAGTGTGGGAAGCACAGGGCTAGCCATTCTGCCCTGGTTTTCAGCTTTGGATACATAATAAAACCACCTGGGGATGTTCAAAGGACTACCTTCAGAAATTCTGATTTAATTAGTCTGGGATATTTTCAGGACATCAGGGATTTTTTCAAAACTTGTCAGGTAATTCCCATATGTAGGCAAGGTTGAGACCCACTGCTTTAAGCCCTCAACAGAGTTTATTTACTCTTATTTCTAACAAGCTTCCTTACATAATTTCCAACCTTACAGGAAATCTTTATCTTTAGCTATGATAATCTAAGATGAACACCCCACAAGAAGTGATTATTTCACTTTATTCTAAATGATTACCACCACCCCAACCCCGTAGAGAAAATGTAAGTTCCCATGGCCAGGACTCTCACCTGGCCCTGGTTTGCTTGTTCACCACACACGTGTGGGCAATACATTGTTATTGACTCTATGTAAAGAGCTCTGCCCGGTGCTCTGGGGTGCTGCAAGGCTGCAGGAGAGCAGAGAGAGGAGTGGTGGCAGCACCCAGGACAGACTGAGACAGCTGCAGGGTTGGGGGATGGTGGGCGGAGAGGCCCAGAGGCAGAGACCGGCTTGCAGCATGCAGTCTTGCTCTGAGGTGGACAGGATTCTGGCGCTTGACCTGCCACCATGGGAATAAAGTTCAGTATAAACCCTTTCACTGCAAGAAAGTTTCATTGTCATTCTTGGTCTTACTGAATCAGGAGTGAACCTGTGCCAGGATGAAACCCTGGCAAAACCCCACCCCACTCCCCTCCCCTCCCCACCAAAAGAAAATCACACCTAAAGCACTGCCTTCAACTCTGGCTCCCTCCTGGAGAAGATAGAAAAACTAGAGAGTGCTTAGAGGGGTGGGACCAAGAGAAGTAATGCAAATCGTAAGAAATGGTTACAGGAATTTGTAACATGTTTGGACAACCAGAGCTATCTTTTTAAACGTAGATCAGATTTTATCACTTCCATGCCTGTCACTTGCCATTGCATTTGGAAAGAAATCTAAGCCTTCTACCCAGTCCCTACATGATCTGGTGCTGGTATCCCTCCTACCTCATGTCCTACACCTTGCTCCTCCTGTTTTCCCACCCTCTCCAGCCACACAGTTACTTCCTTTATGTTCCCTGATCACTTGGAGAGTTTTCATACCTGAAAGTAACTCACATTCTGTTCCTCCTCCCTGAAGTGCTCTGCCCATGAGTGAAGCTTCAACTCTCGTGTCTCCACTGAGATATGATGCCTTCCCTATGTACTCAGACTCTCCAAGTACTTTTCTAGAACAAAAGCCTACTTAGGTTCTTCCTGATACCTCCTGTGATATGTCATTGTCTTGTTTACTTATTTATATTCTTGTTTATTATCTTCCCCAATAGAATGCGAATTTGATGATGACAGCGAATTTATTGGTCTTATTCACTACTATATTTCCAGTGTCTAGAGCAGGACTTAGTATAAAATAGGCTATAAATAGTGATTCATTGAATGAATGAAAAATGAAAGAAAAGAGAAGACTTTGGGTACCACGATAGTTGTTTTCAAATATGTAAAGATCTGTAACTGGAAAAGACCTTAGATTTGAATGGCTTCAAGGTCTATCACTAAAACCAAAGGTGAACATTGTAAGGGAATAGACATGAAATTCACAAAACTGAAAGGAGCAACAGGCAGGCAGAGAAAGCAATAAGCTGTCATAATGGGATGAGCACAAGTTTCAGCTGGATTGCATTTGACAGAGTCATCAATAAGATGACTTGCCCATTCGGAAGGTGATTGTTTCAGGGATCACTGATGTCCTCTTCAGTCCCATGGCTCAAAAAGAATGAAAGCAGGAGGGCTGGTAAGGACAGTTACACTGTCAAAATTGAGAAGTTAGAGCAGACAGCCTTCATGGAGAAAGGCAGAAACAGTTCAGAAGTCAGGCACAAGACCTGAAAAGGACTATACTAGAGCCTGATTTTTTTTGGGTGTAATAGAGTAAACAGTTCTAGGTCTTCATCATTAGGTCTTAAAGTCACCACTGTATCTATCATTACACTGTCACAATATTTTCATAGTAATATGCATATTTTTCTTTTTTAAACATGTGACATGATTATTACCAATTCTCATTTTTTAAAAGTATTGTAAATGGTACATATTTTGTTCATCATTTATCTATGCTATTTTAATGGCTTTTGAGTAAACATTGAATAATCACTTATGAACCTAATCCTATATGAATATTTTTGTAGCAAAATCTTTGTGCATCTTTATTATTATTCTATAAAGATAAATTCCTAGTAATCAAAGTGTTTGTCTAAAGGGTATTCAATATATATAAAGCCTTAATAATTGTTGTTTACAATGATAACCTTGAGTTGTTAATATTCTTTGTTTAAAGAGTCAAGGAAGTAAGTGACTTACTTTGGAAAAATATTCCACCCAAAAGAATTAAAATAAAAGAGTCTGGGGATGTAAAAGTACAAAATTGACTTTCAAATAAACATAGTCAGCCATCGAATAATATCTATCAGCAAGGGTCCCATAGTGAAGATGCTGAATATTTTGTCTAAATTTGGGTACATGGATTTTTATTGCTTGAATATAAATATGGTTAATACTACGGATAATCTAGAAATATCTTTCATTGGCCTTATCAACACGGTCCACTCCTTCAGTGGAAATGCACTGTCATAACTAAGCTTAACTGTTTTCTAGTAATGAAAAAAAGATTAGTGGGATAATATATTTCACTCACCGATCTGTACAGTATCCACATACTGAACAGATGTTTCAGCCTCTACTTCATTTTGATACTTAGACACATTCCTGTTGTTTCCAGTCAGCAAATCTCATCAGAAGGGTCCAGTGGAATTTCTATAGGAAGACCAAGGACCTTAAGTAATTAATTAGTGAGAAAATGGTACCAACTAGATACTAAGGTAATTTCCATAAGGTGCCTCTCATAGATATGCTACCTCACTTTGGATTTTCAGCTGTTTCTTTTTTCTTGTTGCCATATGCTATATGTTATCATTAAATTGTTTGTCAGTGAGCTCAATACTTAGAACAAATTTGGACAATTAATTACTGGAATGGCTGATGAAGGTCCTCTTAGAGAATTAGAGTCTGAGTACATGTTCACAGCAGTTAAATTATACTTCACCTCTGCAAGTTACGTTGTCAGAGCTTCAGAGGAGGATCTGTTAACCAGTCAGCAGCACCGTCTGTGCTTATGTCTGCTTCACGATGATAGCACTGGCCATCTTGCTGTTCTCAGATCTTCTGGTTACATTTAATTATCTGTGTTTTTCACTCTGTCTATTTAGTCCTTTGCCAAAATTTGTTGTTTTTACTTTATCTCCTAAATTTGGTCTTCTTTTAACTAGAGTCCTCTATCATACTCTCATTACCTTGAATTATAAATGTATACAATGTTCATTGGGAATGGAGTTGAAAACTGATGCTTTCTGTCAGCTAGGCATCACATACACATTTAAAACATCATTTAATTTCATATTATTATTATTATTCCTATTTTACACGTGGGTAAACTGAGATGCCAAGCTGTTCTAGACTGTAGATAAGTAGCTAGTTCGAACCTAGTTGTGCTTACTTGACAGCTCACCACAGCTCCACACATGCTGTCTCTACAATTAGCTGCAGTACCTATTAGTTTCCAGAAATTAAATTGTGTAGGCTCTGTGGATATGGAATGAATAAGACATAATTCCTTTCCTGGGAGAGTGCTTCTTTCAGGAGAAAAACAGGCCTACACATAAGACAATTCTGTAACACAAGTACATTTAGAAAGGGGTACAATGATTAGAATCACAGAAAATAAAGAGGTTGTGAGCACCAGGAATCATTCATAGATAAGTGAGGAAAAGAGGAAGGGGTACATCAGTAAGGTCTGGCAAAAGCAGATAAATTAAAGATTGTATGATATACAGAATACATCCTAAGGTTCCCCACTCTTTGCTGAAAGCTGCATTTCAAAATAACAGTGCCCAGCATACATATGGTCCAGGAGCTTAATAAATGCCAGCTGGAGCTGGTGTTTCTCCCTCTATCTCATCTCCATATTGACTTAGTTGACTTTGACCCCAGGAGGGCTCTCCTCTCATGATCAGCAGCAGCTGTTAATTTTCATGGCCTGGTCTTCAAATTCCATGCAGAAGAGTGAGAACCTTTGTCCCCAGATTTCTGTGTCTCTTGGTCTTTAACTGGGTCAGGTGCCCATCATTAAACCAATCACTGTAGCTCATGGTAAGATAATGTGCCATGCTGATTGGCTTAGGTCTGTGCTACTCACCTAAGTTGTAAGTGGAGGCTCACCTGGAACCCATGTGCTGAGGGGAGGGAGAACTAGCATCAGGGCATTGTTATCAGGAGAATCATGAGTGGGGGCTGCGTGGTGGCAAAATCAGCCATTCACAGATGCCATTTTTCTTCACATATGCTGGCTTCTCTAGTGTTCCCTTTTCATTTCAGATCCAGTTAACTGCACCAATGTCTTCTTAATTCAATTCCATTCAACAATCAAATATATAGTATCCATTTTATGCCTGGCCCTGTGTTAGTCCCTGGATAAACAGAGTTTTAAAAGACATAGATCCTACTTTCAAGAAGCTCATAGGCAACATTTAATTAGGGTGGGTGAGCAGGGAGAGTGAGGGGGATAAAGGGGCACAAAATTTTCAGTCATAATGTTAGTTGGTCCTGGGATGGTAGTACTGCATGGAGAATAGAGTCAATGCTTCTGTAACATCTCCCTATATTGACAGATAGTAACCACACTAGTCAGGTGAGAATGTAGTAATATGGGTAACTGTTGAAACACTGTATTGTGTGCTTGAAACCAGTGTAAGATTGTATTGAAACTATGCTTCAATTAAAAAAAAGAATAAGAATGCTTAATGTTTACAGCTTGTTTTCCTGAACTATGATTTTATACTCTTTCCGCAGCCCCCAAACTTCAGGTGATATTGCTAAACTCATCTATGGCTTATATGATATTTTTGTGTATTTATAATTTTTAATGGAAATGGGATGGTGAGACAGTCCACAGAATGAATGAAATCACTAGAACCAGTAGAATGAGCCAGAGTTGCCCAAGAAAACACACAGTCCATTGCTATTTATGGAAATCAAGGAGGGCTTCACATTTTTATAGGTAGTTATACCTACTGTATTGACTAGGAGACCCCAAGTTTACAAGTGGTTGCAAAAATGAGATAGGGGTAGAAGGGAAAGTGAGCAAAGCTCTTGGTTGAATGGGAGGAAGTTAACGATTAATTTAAGGCACTGTGGAATCATACTGATGTGCTGCTTGAGAGTATACCCTTTGTCTGATGTTCTGTAGACAAATTCTTACCACAAAATTCTCATTTGCAGTAGTGGTGTTCTCTAGTTGCTGCAAACACAGAATTAATGAATACTGAATTAGGGGAAAACAGGGTTAGGTCCCTGTGAGCCCCTGGTCACCATATTGATCAGTGCTGTGACTGATCAACACACAACCTTCTTTTATGTGTGTTTCTGCTTAAACACACCTTGTAAACTGTATATTGTTGATTCATTAACATTGAGCTCATGGCCACCACCTCTGTAACTCATGCCTGAAAGGAGCTTATCTAATGTTTTATTATCTCTGAAATCAAGCTTTCCTGTGCTTAGGAACACTAAACAGAACTTTATTTTTTTGCTTGGGGGAAACTTTGAACAGGAAAATGATCCCAAAAGCCATAAAAATGTGAAAAATATGACACTAGATAGACCCCAAAAGGACACCTGTTTACAGTATGAGAGCTGAAATGAGAAGGCAGAGCGTCGCCGTGCTCAGCCTCATCTGGGAATGTGGCAATTGGATGGCTCGAATTTTCCACTGCTCTGCACATGTCTACGAATAACCTCGAGAGCATGGTAAGGTTGATTTTAGGGTTACAAATAAATTTAGAGAGTAGGTGAATTTGTAAGTACAGAATCTATAAATAATAAGGGCTGACTGCATCTTTACTTGATAGGAATCAGTATGTGCTTAGAACTTAGCAGCTACAGTAAATCTTCAATTCTTTTTCTAATATTCCAAGTGAAAAGAAAAAAATAGAATGTAATCTTTAATTACATTTGAAACGCTGTTAGTGAAAATATGACTACTTTAGCAACTCTGCTTCTTTTGAGGATTTGTTTTCATGCAAAATGTACATCTATTCCAGAAAATTGACGGAATAAGTTCCTGAAAATTTAAAGTGCAGAAGTTCACAGACTTAAGAATTCCTTCTAATTGAGTAAAACTTGTAGAAAAATTTGGAGCGATTTGATATCTTAAAACCACTTTTACTCTTTATTTCCAAAACCCAAACTGCTCAAATCAAAAAATTTGAGCACTTAAAAATGTCTATGAAACTACAGTAATTATTAACAGATTATATAAAAATTTGCAATTACTAAAGATTCCCCGTTCACACCTTCAATTTCAAAATAAGTCAAACTATTACCTAACTCAGTAATTCAGACTACATTGACTGTATTAAAAATATATTTTCACATTTCACGTTCACATTTTAAAAAGCCCATTTAAAGACATTAGTGATAAAAATACAGTGTTAGGTACCCGACTTCAAAGAAATAATCATATTTTTAAAACTTTGGCAATTAGAGTTTATTAACTGTTCTGGCATCTCCATCTCTTGTTCCCTTTTATTATTCTTGGGCAGCCAATATTCATCCGGCAGAAAAATTATTTACAGCAACAGGGAATGTTCTTATTTAAAAGAAAGTATTTATCTGTAGTATCCATTAGGGTAAACTGCAAGGAAGGATGTAATAGGGTCTCTATTTATATGATGTCAGGTAGCATATGAATAAATAAGACTGTTATTCACAGACAACTGAATAGTTGGGGTCAAAAATGAAGCTCCTAGATCCTGCTACATGGACTGCTATTGAAATATGGTAGCAAATCAAAGAAACTTTAATCTGGCTAAAGCTTAAAAAAGCTCAGATTATAGGTACCTAGTTAGTGATCAGAATTTCTCTATCAGGACCGTGGAAGACGAGAACTTGGTGGACTGACAGTGGGTAGATGACCCGAAGGGCTACCAGCTCACTCTCTGTAGGGTTTGTGCCTTCATCATTTTGCAACCAGAATCTCGTACTTAGTCTTCTTTTATCCAAGGAATGGATGTTGTTTATTTTGTAGCTCTAGGATTAGGAAAGCTCTCTGTGATCAGATAACAGATCTGTATTAACCGGACCATTTGGGGGCTTGATTTTTTCAAATGTGGCTTCACTAGAACTATGCTTCAATGGAATTAACTAAACTCAGCACCCCATACTCTTGTCTGAACATGGTAAGAAATGTAAGTAGCCAATGTTTGTTGATGTTAATTGAGTTAAAATGGATACCATATATAGATAAAAATAAAACCCACCTATTTGATTTTGTTTTATTTATTTATCAACTATTGGGATTATTAGATACTAGAGTATGTGACCAATGAAGGGCATTACCTATAAGAGCAGGATAGATAATTGCTTTAGAACTTTTGGCCTGTTGGGAGACAGCACAGTACCCTGCAGAGTCTTTAGATGCCCCTTTCAGTAATATGACTACAAGATCCCATTTTATAGATGAACATGTGTGTGTGTGTGTGTGTGTATAGAGAGACAGACTATGTGACATACCTACAAGGTGAGCTTAATAAGGGATAGAAATTTATATAAAATATACAAGCACATAAATGATCAACTGTTTTACCTCATTATTTACCTTTATTTGTAGCCTAAGAATATTCCTTTATTTCTAGCCCAAGAAGTGGCTTTTGTTTATTTTTAAGGATTCTGATTGGACCCTATCAAAACTAACTGGACCAAGGGCCCTAGGGGCTATGCACAAATAGTAAAACACATACTTTGACTTAGTTAGAAATTGCTTAGAACATTAATCACACTCATATCATTTGACTAAATTATCTACCATTTGACTTAATTGTCTCCATTCAGTTGCCAATAAAGAGACAGTATCTTACAGTACAGTTTATTTTCTATTTGCCTGGCTTCTCTTAATGTATTCTGCTTTGTCTTTGAAAGATAAATGCAGACATTTGCAATAACTTAAAAAATAGAGAAACTTCCAGGACAGATTCTATACTTCCCTATGTGACCTAGAAAGAGGGCAAACCCATTAACTCAGGACTCGATTTCCTAACAGAAGCACTGGGCTTATCAAAACAGACATTTGTAAGCAGTCAGTCCATTTACTCAGATAGTAGGGATCTCTCCTGGTTCAGGACCCTCACACATAAATGGCAAGAATATTTTAACTTTCTTACTTGCAACCAGATATGATCTACCTTTCCTGATAATGCTCAGTATTGACTCAGTTTCAATTATTTGCAGAGAGATGAGATCAAGGAAACAGACGGACCTTGCAATAAAGGAATATTATTGAGTTCTTACCATTGTGACAAATCATATGTTAGGATATTCTAAGCACCTTATCACATTTGGTCCTCTCAACAACCTATGGAAGTAAATACTACTCAAATTTTATGGTGTAAGTTGAGACTAAAAAAATTTAAATTATTTGCCCAAAGTGATATGGTTAATAAGTGGAGATGGTTGCTAAATCTGGACTCAAAATAAAAACAAAAGCATGGCAAAAAGAGGGCAAAGAAAGGAAGCAGAGGGTACAATATCCATGAGGAATCAAACCTCCTTCAAGTCCTCTGGAAAGTTTAGTCACTCCTTTTGCAGAATCAGCTGTGAAGCACAAATATCTGTGTCCTGTTCTTTTTACCAAATTCATTCCTCTCTCACAACAGGGGAAGTTTTTTTTCATTTGAAGGTCATGTTTTTAAAAGCTATTGACCTAGAGTTGTCATCACATTTTTCTTATTTCAAATGTTCTGAGTAAAGATAAATATATTCTCCATCATTTTACTGCTAACCGGATTAACTCAAAGTGAAAGAACTAACTCATGAAAAATAACAGAAAATACATTGGAATATACTTACCTTCATGAGGGAAACTCTCTTCCTAAAATATATGTGAATTGGAGTATCTCTGCCCTGGAATAAAAGTAGCCCATTTGAGAAGGTGGGAGTATAAAAAGATAAAACAAAACAAAAACAACAGCAACAGAGTAAGGAAGAACATTAAATACAATGGGAAATGTAGGCTTTCTGTGTACCCAGAAGAGGGAAACATGGATTTTGAGGGGCATCTGGCATATCTGCTGTACATTTTAAAATGTGAGATCTAGAGATATTGAGTGCCTTGTCAAAAGTCACACAGATTAGAGTCCAAATTCCCCTACAGTATTGTGATTCTTACTTTTTGCCTCTAAGCTATCTGCAAGTCCATAGATCTGAGCACCCATATGTTCTTCCAGACATAAGGGCTGACCTTTTCGTTTGGTTTTGAAAGGCAAGTATGACATCTAGAAGATACTTATAATAGACTTAACCATATCTTGCCTCTTTTGGTATTTTAAAAGAAAACCTGGAATTATAGGAGAAGATTCAATTTATATGACATTAAAATGGAACTTAGCAACCATTCGTTGTTTTAGCTAATAAAAAGAACTTCATGTTTGACATTTCTATGAACCATTGACCCAAAAACGCAAAGTATGGGTACTTCAGGAGAATAAAGCATAGGGAGATGCTTTACTTTTTCTAATCTCTTTAGAAAAGCAAGGCTTTCTAGTTTAGCAAATATGAGTTAGATCAATCCAAAATATGTGGCCACAAACATATGTTATAAACAAAATATTTCAAATCTTATATAACATACAGTAAGTAGAACTTACCCTGATAGTTCAGAACATTGGCTAAACCTCAAAGTTGCAGACAATTGACGATAAGTACTTCATAATCTAAACAGATATGCTAGATACATCTATGCAGCATGCACCCAACAGGTGCCCTATAGATCTGTGACCATCACTCAACTCTTGTCCACATTAGAGAGGCCAGAGAATTATCAGTGAATTCTTCAAAGAGAATTTTTTTGGGTGTAGAGAAGACTGTGGCATTTCTTTTCTTAACGTTCTTGGAAAAGAAAAGGGAGGGCAGTTCATTTCCTTTTCCTCAAGCCAAGTGAGGGAGGACTCAAAAGAACTAGCCAGAAAATAAAGCTTTTTGCAAAATGAGGAGGCCTATGCTCACCTCTTGCCAGGCAGGAACCAAGCTGGTGTGCTTCCTTGCCAGTGAGGAAAGGATTGAGGAGCTGGCTGCTGCTTAAGCTGTACTCAGTAGTTTGGTGGCATGGAACATTCAAGAGACTTCCTGCAGACCAAGTGGGCACATGGAGAAGATAGCTCAGGACCCAGGCCAGTGGGGCTGAGCCCTGGGACAAAAGAAACCCAGGAGATGGTCTTGAGTCAAGAGAGTGCCCCGGGCTGTGGCCTGTCTGAAGGACACTCCAATGGACTCCATAGAGATCACCAGCATCAGATGTTACTCCTCTCTTTCAGATGCCCTCTGGTTCCAGATTCTGTTCTGCCAACCCTTCCTTTTTCGCAGCTCTTCCCCACCTCTCTCTTTCCAGTTGTCTCTCTGTCTGCCTTCCTTTGTCTGTGGAGATGAAAGTAGAAGTAAAAATTTAGGAATTCTTCCAGGTAATTCTGGCTCTATTTAATTGTAACAAAACAGGTGATCTTCACATAAGCTTTCTCATTTTCTTTCACCCATTTGATAAACCTTTTAGTATGTTTTTATTTCCCCCTCTTCTTTTTCAATTTTGCTAAGCACTTATGATGGGTACAGTTATTTTTGGGAAGTAACCACACTGGGCTTTCCTGCTTCTTTTTAAGTGAGAAAAAACAAATGGGTGATTTAAGGAGTTCCTCAACTTCTGATGTGTTATGATCTCTTAAAGGAGGGGGAAGGGGTTTCAGGCCTAGAAGGACATTCTGCATCCGCTGCCTTGTCATACTTTCCTCCTCACCGGACCACATCCTTTGGATTGGGGGATATCGCTGGGGTCTTTTTACAAATTTGGGACTTTTCTTTTTCAATACAGCTTGAAGGAATAGGAAAAGGAGATATTCCCAGGGTCCTTTACTTTCTTAAATGTAATAGTGGATCATCATTAAGACAGACATTTTTATATTTACAATAGCACCTATAAACCATTGAGCCACAATTCAGTTTGACTGGGAAAAGGGCAAACTAAATCCAATAAATTTCTTGTCCTCTTAAGGTTAGTAGATGTGAATAGAACCATTTAACTCTGAAATAATTTAACTTGATGAATTAAAATTGCTGCTCAACATAATAACCCAGTAAAGATTATTCACGGAATTAAAATGTTCTTTTCAGAAAATACAATTTGTACATTTGCACTTTAAAAATAAAGAACACTTTTCTTGAGCTCTGGTGAATACACCAGCTGAAAAATAAAACTAAACACCCCTCTTTTTGAAATCTCTTTGGTAAGGAAAATTAGATATTTAAGATTTTCTGCCTCCTTAGTTCTTTTAAAAATGTATCACAAAAGAATATGGAAATTGTTCTACAGAAATTAACTGAACAACTTGAAAATAAAAGAGTGATTTATACCCCTTTTTATGAATACTAGGAAGATGTTTGAGAAGACAGCACCAGTTTCATCTGACAGAGCCACTGCATTCCACGGTGTCTGGAGGCCCCGTTCACATCACTGCCCGGGTGAACGTTGCCCCATGGAGTGGATGGTCCCGCCTGGTGTGCAGTCTAAGCCGCACAGCTGTAAGTGGAGGCTCTGCCCTAGAATTTCTTTTATATTACCTTTAGAATGATAATAATAATAATAATGATAATTGTTTTCATGTCCAGTAAATTTTAGCTTATCCTATCTGACGTATAAACAAGTTAGGCAGACAATCTCAAAAGGACTGTACCTCAGAGACAGCAGGGAGAGCTGTTGGCAGGGCTGGCTGGCTTATAAAAATAACTGAGGGAGGCAAAGGAGATGTGTGGGTCTGGCAGGAGAAGAAACAATACTGCCTGTGCCAAAACAATGACAGCTGGCATTCCATGAGGTTTTGCTATGGATGAGAGTACTCAAAATTGGGCAACTCCAATATTTTAAATTTTGGGTGGCAGCTTTAATGGTCAGCTGCTGGTCATTCCTGGCCAGATCCTCAACAGATATGCATTATTCACTATTATTTTTAGATCTGCTCTTTCCCCACCCCCTTCTCTCTCCACAATACTGACATTTCATATTGAAACATGGACAAGAATAAATTAAGTTACATATAGTTGGCCAGATTGGTTTTTCCTATTTAGCTTTCATGATGGTATGAGGATGACAGAAGAAAAAGTTTAAACAGATATGCTTTGATATTTATGAACTGGTGGTATAAATTCAAAATGTAAAATATCAACCTTAAAAAACTTAAAATTTAATATAATATAATCTTTTCCATTTGCAAAATATCCAAGACAAACAGACTTCAGTTTATGAAAATTTTTTTTGTCTTATTTTTCTTCTGTGGCTCAGACTAAGTTTTCCTGCTTATGGTTTAGTTTTTAAAAGTTGTTGCTACTGGAATCTCTTCAGTAATGTCAACTCTAATGGTTTCTCTCTTCCCATACGATGTTCCCTCGAAGCTCCCTGAGGAAGATGAGTTGGGAATGCAGGTATCAGCTGAACTGTCATGTGTAGTGGGCTTGTACTACCAGTCTTGGCTATATTTTTTCACATGCAAGTTGTGTCATACAAAAACCTGTTTATTTTGCTTGATGATAGATGCAAGACAGAGCTTTTGGTTAGCACAGATTTAAACATATAAAGATAAAGCATGTCTTATGAGTTGCTTTCTCCGGGGAGATTATGTATTTTTTTAGAACAGATCACATTGATTCTCTAGTTGCACTTCTCTGTTATCAGTAGGATGTGTTTGTAAGCTAGCTGGGTCAATGCCAATCTAGAATTCTTGGCATTATTCTCAGGTCCACTTCTTTTGGTACAAGTGACTTTAGTTCCTTTGCCTTTACGACCTTCAGGATTCTGGATTTCATTTAACTGCCATTTTAGCTCTATGGTTCCTCCACCTAGAACTGAAGAACTCTGTAATACTTGGCTATTTTGATTCTTAGCTGAGCTGTCTATCACTATCCGTCTCATGGTTTTAAATTGTGTCATTTTTCTCTATTCCCAGTCCCAGTCTTAGCCTGTGCTTAGATTTCTTCATAAGAATATATAATTCCACACATTGAGAAGCTTACTGGAGTTTAATTTCAGTGGTAGTTCCTAGTTAGGATCAGGAAACTAACCTGATTCTTTCCCACCCATGTTCCAGCAAGAGAAGTAACTGTGTCTTCCTTACCTGGACTTCCTCACTGCTTAAAATAAATGTTCAAATAATGCAGATACCCTCCATCCCACTAGCTTCTTCTGTTAGTTCTGCAGATAGGGAATGATACAAAATATCCTATTAGAGATGACCAGAAAGAATTAGAAATGATCATTTAGAAAATAAATCAGGCAGGAACAGCTGGGCAACAAGTGACTCAGGGATCCAGAAAAATGTAGGAGAAACATATTTTGGCTCCAAAGAAAATGAAAGAATGGTTATTATAAGCAAACAGGAGTATTTTCTCTTTGTTTGATGTTTTTACTAAGAGAAATTGAAAATAATTTATGGACATACATTAATAATTAGTTCTCTGTGCATCCCATTTTTTGAATGCTTAAATTGAGGCATATGGATAATGATTGATTTATTCAAAGCACTCAGCATGTCAGTGGTTGAATTTTGTTGAGATCCCTCATTCGCTGTAGACCACACTGCTTATAATGACCTATGTATAATTCATCTCAGCTTCATCCAAATTAGGAGTTGACATTTTTTGGTAACATAAATCATAGCTTCTTGTCAGTAAAAGAACCTTAGTGTGGGAAACTCAGACTGCTAGGAGGCTCAGTATGCTGCTCACTGTGTTGTTTTTGTACAAAATTTGAGAGAATCTAATAGTGTGCCACCTTTATGTTGGCACATGCGTGCATCATATGTTTATTGATGAAGTTGATCTTTCTTCAGCCCAGGTATTTCCTGGGCAAGCAGGAAAGGAGATCATTCTGAGGATTTTCTCCTGGGTGGTTCAATATGAATTAACAATAAAAATGCATTAAAAATGCTTTTGGTTCAATAATTTTTCAGTAATGATTTTAGAATAACTATGAGGCTAAGAAATGGAATTGGGCTGTTTTCTTTCAAATTTGTAGACATTTTTGGAATTTTAAAAATCTTTTCCATCTGACAACTGTGTGACCACCCTTCTCCTTTAAGTCTCTCCCTGTTGTAACAGTGAATATCTAAGAACGGAGGCCCAGTTTTGCTTCTTTAGTGTGTAGAAGTCCCTGACTCTAGACAGTCTGAGATCAAGCTGAGCTATGATGTACGTATAAAGGAAGAAGAGATCAAGACACAGAGAAGACCAGGTGATACTGGAAGATGTGTTTGAACTTTGATTCCAAATGTTAACCAAGGCTCTCCCTTTATCTTTCTACAACATAAGAAATAAATTTACCACATGCATATTGACATGGATAAAAATTCTAGCTAGGAATCGTCTAGATGCCACATACACTTTACTGCATAGTATTTTCTATTAGATATACTGTGAGGAAATTGGCTGGTTTGTTGTTAACATTTTTTTTTTCATAGAATAGTTTCTTACTCTACAGCCTGAGAAATACCTACGGTTAAATTCTATTTAAGTTTAGAAGTCTATAAACACACTAATTCATTATACTTGCTTTAACTTATTACAAAATCATTTCAGTAAACTCTAACTAAAATAGCACAAGTTTAAGTGCATGCTTAGAGTTTTCTATAATAATACATTGGCTTCACCTAGCCAGAATTCTTAATGAATGGGAGTTTAAAAATTTAACTGTCTTTTCTGAGAAAGTATCATAATATCAAAGCTGCTCATAGGGAGTTAAATTTTAAAAATCTACCTTAGGATGTTTGCCTTGATCAGTATATGTCCAGCATTTGTCTTCCACATCTTCTGTATCTATCATTCTCTCTAAATCACTGATGTTGATAAAGATAACCCTGATGGCCTGGAACACACAAAATAAAAAGAAAGATTAGCTTACATTCTAGTGACTAGCAACATGAATATCAATATATTTTAAAAATATTTTCTATAAAAATGGTTGAAATAAAAAAAAGGGCCTTAGGTTAAGACTATAATAATTAGAAAATTAAAGCAATCATACCCATCCACAACATAACCAGTAGGAAAAATAGGGGTTCGGTGTTTGCCAGAATTCATTATTTTGCAGCTCTCTAATTTAATATACATGTAGTTATGACAAATGAAAGAAATAGGCTTGTGAAACACAGTGTTATTAAATGGTCCAAAACAGTCCTAGGCAATAGCAGGAAAAAAAATTAATTCATTCAGGGTCATATGGTGCATCACTAATAGAGTGGGAATTAACATTAAAAATCTATCTTCCTTATTAAAACTTTTTCCCAGAGACATTGGGAACACTACCATTTTAACATCTAAACATACGTTAAAAGTCATAAACCAATATTTAGGAGTAAAAATCAAATGCTAGCACAATAAGTTCCATGAAATTGTTTACATTATTTATTGCACTGGAATTTTACCTTTGCTTGAAACAAGAAGGCTGGAGCTTAAAAATGTTTGCTGATAATGCAAAAATTATTGTTGAATTCACATTACAACATCTAATTACTCACAAATACAAGTTAAATTGCTCATATATACTTCTGAAGATGAATGATGCATATAATCCATCAAACCACCTACCATTTCATCCATCTTCCCAGTACTGAGAGTTTACATAGCATCTGCTCTAATATTGATACATATATTATAATATCAAGAGGATTGTGAATGCTAAGGTAAACATTTAACATTTTTACCAGTTCTATTTTACACTCACTATTTTACATTGGGTTAAGAATTGGGTATGTAATGAGAGGTACACAAAACAGATAATTATAAGGCAAAAAACCCTCAAATTAATTTTCAAGACTAGAAACGGGGGTCTGATGCAAGAGATTAGTTGAAGATGTCTATGATATGAAAAATTAATCTAAATACCTGTATAAATTTTTCCATTAATTAGAGAAAAGGATACATTGCTTTAGGAAGTTGAAGAGAAGGCCTCAGAAAAACCTCATGATCTAGGTTTTATGTTTGTGACCTTAATTAAGCCAAGTAATTCTGGTAGTTTAAATACATAAGAATTTATGCATAAGTTAGCCATCTCCATAACTTCATTAAACCCTCTATGGGGAAATAGGGATGTGGGTAAGTGGGCAGAAAGGATAGTACAATTACATCTCAAAATGCCTAACAAAGCATCAGTTTTGAGAGATAATAGTAGATGATTGTCTTTTCCAAGATGTTTTACATTTCTAGAATATAGCTTACTTATTAACATTATTTAAAATTACACAAGACAGATATGATATATTAATGTCAAAAGGAAAGTATTGGCAATTATTTTTGTAGGTCTTCCTTATACTCAATATTAAAGATTTATGAGTCATAATTTAAGTAAAATATAAAATAGCTTACTGGTATCTCAGGTTGTCATTGCCTCCTGTATTTCACCACAAAAAGTACATTGATCATTTCATAGAATATTTAAAAGCTGGAAGCTTCAAATAATTTTTATTTTGCTAGTATGAATGAGCATGTTATCAACGATGAAGGCTTAATAATCACTTCAAATTAAACAGACAAATCAAATTAATACATATTTATTGAAGACCTACATATGAAGGAATCTATATACTAGGCACAAATTAGTCCTGACTTGCTATGCTAACAAAGGGTTTTCAAGTGACCAGGGAGCTAAGATCAATACCTTTTTGCTGTGTTATGTTGCTTTTCTCTTTACTATTTACATATGAGGTGTAGCTACCATCAAAGTGAGAAGATTCACATTTGCTAAGTATGAAAATAGTACATGTAAAACCAGTATGAAACCAAATATGTCCTGCAGTGGAAAAAACAATGGGCTCATTTAAACTTTGTACTATTTTTGTGATGTTGGAACTTGCCTTGTCTCAGTTTCTCCTTTTGTAAAGTAAGAAGTTTGTAATATTCAATGCCTCATTGATAAATATGGTTTTATAAATATGGCCTAAAGCCAGGTATTCAACTGTAATATCAGAAGGTCTACCAAATTTTCTTTATTTGGCCTTAACTCATAAATGATGGATATTAAAGTTCTTGTCCAATATTTTCTACATACACTTTTAAAGCAACCTGTGCAACACAGATCATTTATTAGACTCACCAGGAAATACAAACATTTCTTAAAACTGACTAGACTTGCATATACTATCTGTACTCAGTCTTAGTATTCCATAAATAAAAATTATACCTGACATTCCAGAATTTTGTTTGAATGCTTGATGGATACTGTATTGAACAAAATAATGATTAAACAGTAATTGCATGAAGCAGCAAGTAGAAGGGGGAATTGTGCCATTTGTGATGAACCCTGGGCTGTGTGTCTTGTTTTTTCATCAGAAGAGTCATCCATGGGATGGGTAAGTCTAAGACCTAGTCTATGCCAGAAATTTGTGGAGATTTTGAGAAGTGCTAATTTTTATTTCCATGAAGATTTGAAATTTCTCTTCAGGGGAATTATAAGGAAGGTGCTAAACAGCTGGGAAGGTGGGGAAACAGGTAGTGAAATTCTTGATTAGAAGAATGTAAAAGGTGCCCTATGGGTTTTCTCTCCATCTACTGGTAAATTACACCAAGAATGCCACCTAGCTGAAGATCAACTGGTAAGTGTCCAAGATCTATCAGCAGAGCCTGATTTACTTGGAAATTTTTGTCCTATGTTGTGGTTATATCACATTTTTGACAGTAATATTTTCCTTTCCTTTCCTTCCTTCCCTCCCTCCCTCCCTCCTTCCCTCCCTCCCTCCCTCCTTCCCTCCCTCCCTCCTTCCTTCCTTCCCTCCTTCCTTCTTTCCTTCCTTCCTTCCTTCCTTCCTTCCTTCCTTCCTTCCTTCCTTCCTTCCTTCCTTCCTTCCTTCCTTCCTTCCTTCCTTCCTTCCTTCCTTCCTTCCTTCCTCCCTATTATGTCCAAGACACACTGAGCTCTAAAGCATGCAGAAATGTCTAAAAGATCTAAAAGACATGGTTCGCGTCTTGCAAGGGAAATGGGTGAGCAATACCTGTGGCATGAAGCAGGCCATCATTATTTCCCCTACTTAACATTAAATGCCATGGGAATTCAGAGGTTAGAGGCATCCTTTCCAGCTTCAGTGAGCAGGAATCAGTCATTTCTCGACGAAGTCCTTATTTCCTTTGGTGGTCCCTGGCATGTAGGAATGATTAGGCATGGGATGCTGCTGCTCATTCCTGGTACATGTCAGTGGACTGAGTGAGGGAATATAGGCATGAATATGAATAAATATATGCATACACATTTCCATCTTTATTTTTAAACTTATGTGTATATACATATATATATTTATTGAGGCACATACAATAAAATGCATACATCTCAGTGTACTGCTCAATTAATCTCGACATGTGTATGTACTCATGAAACCATTACCCAGTATGCAGATGTTTTTAAAATTGTAAGTTCATGCCAACACCTTCAATTCCAGTTCAAACTAGGCTTCATGGTAGATGTCTCACTTTCCTCCTTGTAACTTCCCTCCCTAACACTGAGAAACTTGGCTTTCATTGTCATCAATATTATCGCTAATATTATTCCCTGTATATAACCAAGCTACCTCTGCAGTTCTTGGCTCCTCCCACATGCAGAAGCTCTCATCCCACCCATGCTCTGACATTCTGTTACCAGCCACCTTACCACAGAAGCCTACTCACCCGGGCCAGGCCACGGCGCCTTGCGTCATAGGGTCAGCTGACATGTAGGTTGCTCAGTAAATATTTGATGGATTAATGTATCTCAACAGCACAATGTTTGGGGTTTTCACAGAGCAGCATACTGTTCCAAGGACAGTAGTTTCCTGTAATGCTAACAATTTTAGGCCTTATTTCTATGTTAAAATTATACTACATTAGTGTCAAACTCAAATCCACTTATTTCATTTCAGACAATAGAAATGAAATATGCAAATGTATTTTGGATGATGAGGTTTGAAAAGGCTTAAGATCAATGAAGAGGAAGAAGGTAAAGGATTTTCTGTTGGTACTTTAAACTGACTTATTTAATAATTTAATCCCCCCTGGCTTGAAAAAGAAAAACAAATGAGGTGTTTGAAGATACAATGTAAAAGAATGCAAGGGACACAGAAAGGAGAGTAAAGAAATTAAAAAAAAATCCTTTGGTTAGTTCATGGTATTATTTAGCTATATCAAGAATATAAACCATTTTTTAGTTCATATCAAATAGAAAGAAAAAAAAGTGAGAAAAAATTTATTCTTAATCTTACAAAGTTTAAACATAGGCAAGATATTTCTTGACTTACCAAGAGGTTATGTCCTGATAAACCCATCATAAATTGAAAATATCATAAGTCAAAAAATGCATTTAATATACCTAATCTACTGAACATCATAGCTTAGCCTAGCCTATCTTAAACCTGCTCAGACACATTCACTAACAGTTGGGCAAACTCATCTAACACAAGGTCTATTTTATAGTAAAGTGTTGACTATCTCATGTAATTTTTTTAGCACTATACTGAAAGTGAAAACCAGAATAGTTTCATGGGTACAGAACGGTTGGAAGTGTATCAGTTGTTCACCCTCATGATTGCACGGCTGGCTGGAGGCTGCGGCTCGCTGCGCCCACCCAGCATCATGGCAGAGTATAATACTGTATTGTACCAGCCCAGGGAAAGATCAAAATTCAAAATTTGAAGTACGGACTCTACTGAATGTGTATCATTTTCCCACCAGTGTAAAGTGGAAAATCATAGGTTGAACCATTGTTAGGTCAGGGACTGTCTGCAATAAGAAATAAAGATGTATAGAAAAAAATCTTCATATTATATATTTATTTAACTAAATTATGGCTTGGGAAATAAGGCTTAACATAAGTTGCAAACACATACTAATAACAATTAGTCAGCATATGTAAACCAGAGTAACACTGATCAGTGTATGTTACTAGTGGAGTGTCAATGGCTTGGTGATGGCCAGAAGATTCATGTCAGCTCCTACTGGGTAAGGGCTTCTATGACCATAGATCTGCCACAGATATTCCCATTTGCCTTGTTCCTTGCCCCAACAGACTCAGTTCACTTGGAATAGAGTTATTAGTGGCGGCCTTTTTAATTCCGGAAAGTGTTTCAGCTTGAATGATTAATTATAAGGTCATCCTAACTTTAGACAGAATTTGGAGACAGACAGCTGAGGGATCTCAACTTTTATTTGTCACTTTGTCCCACAGCAAATAAGGCCATTTTCAGTAAATCATTCAAAGCCACATAGGCCTAGTTCCTCTCCAGGTTACATATAAATGCAAATTGGACCAATCAGCTCCATTTTACTCCATCTGTAACTTCTGGGTGGTCTTCAAAGAAAACTCCACTTAGTGTGTGTTTTAATGATGCAAGGGAAATTTCACAGACTGCTAAAATGAGGGTGGGAGGTCTGTCGTTGAGAGAGAGGAGAAAAGCTTTTCTAGCTACAGCTGTCACCTGAAACTTTAGCCACTATTTACTGAGTGATATACTCTGTTCACAGCAATCTACTATTTCCCTATAATATCTAGATAAATTCTGAATACCATGTTATTCAAGGTGATGTCATGGATTAAAAATGTAATTTGGCATTCTTTGTCCACAGTATTCAATGTTGACAAAATAGGCTGTCAATGCTGCCTTTTGTGTAATGAAAGGAAAAGAAGCTTTAATAGGATTTCATACTTTGGTTGTGTGATTCAATATTAATACAGTACACTCAGGTGCAAAATTATTAGTAATATAAAACTTTCACATTGAGTATTAAGATAGGAATGGGATTTCTGTCTGTCAAGATTAACTGAAAAGTTCAAGACTTGATTGTGAAATATAATATAAAGTCTTAAAGACCACCTTGTCTGATCAAATCCACCAACAGAAAATTCTGTGTATACAAATTTGATGTGATGCAACAACACTTGATCGTAAAGACACTGTGAAATCTTTAATCCATCTTGGATGAAGTTTAAAAAAAAACCCATGTCAGGAAGTGGTATCAAGATATAGAAAATGAAAACAGTATGTTCGAAAGATGAAAGAAAAAAAATCAAAGCAAGGAAGAAAGAAAATATAGTGGCTGTCTCCAAGGATGAAATTTAAAAAAAGGAAATAAATCTAAATGCCACTGCTCCAATAAGGTGGTATTATAACAATTTGCATTTTCTTGCTTACAAATGGCTGACTTTTCAAGAGATATTTTTGGAAATAGATTCCAGGCATTTTTTTTTCATTTTAATCAATCCTTTGGGGTATGAAAAAGCAGATAGTTACCCAGTGTTATCCAGGATCTATCTACATCTCTATTTCATCTATATATCTACTCATATACCATCTATGTCTATATATCATATCTATATATATCATATATATCTCCTATAGAGACAGTGACCTCCTCACTCAAGCCTTTGTCTACCACCTAAAGCTTATCAGTTCTTCAAGCATCGGGCAAGTTGGAATTTTGGAGACAAACATGATAGCTGGTTTGGGTGTTACATGATACTATTCCATTGTCCAAAAAAGTCTTTTTGCTTAATACTGGAAATAACTTAAAATGTATAGTTGTTTACATCTTGGCAAACCAAAAATAAGAGCTATCCATGCCCTCAGTTAGATACATTATGACATTCAGTCTCAAGGATCTGGACTCACTCCAACAGTGAATTGCTCTCAGAAGTTTTAGCCCAAGAGTAGGAGTGTCTTTATTTACACCTCCTGTTCATAGAGAGATAGGATCACAGGGCTGTGGAAGAGAAGGCTCCTTAGAGAGCCCCTATGCCAGGATTGGCCCTCAGTGTATTCCTTTCACTGCCCCATGAATCAATAGTCTCCCAAAGGTTGAGAAAACATGGAAGCACCAATACTTAGCCTGAGATTGAAGAAGACCAGAATATGCCACCCTAAAATCTGCTTCTTTGACATGAATGATTGTGATCTAATGGCTATTGAAATACAGCTGATGCAGGAAAAGATCTAAAAACCAAAGTTTCCCTTTTATAAAAGAAATTCCCATTTGTAAAAGTGTTTCCTTCTCCTTTATCAGGAGAGGGACTCTTAACAACTCATCAAGGGAGAAGGCACTGGTGTAAATAGCCATAACAAAGCTTATTAAATTACCCTGGTTACCATATTTTTCCTGGTCAGCTTCTCATAACTTGGCCTTGCTGTCTGGAATCTCAAACACCTTTCACCTTTTCCCTTGTTTAGCCTAAGATAGTATAGAAGCCCAAGTTCTGACCAGCCCTTTGAGTTACTCATCACTGGGTGCTCTCGGTTGTATGTGTGATGTTCAGATTAATAAACTGCTATTTGTTTTCTCTAGCTAATCATTTTTAGTCAGTCTAATTTACAGGGCCTTAGTTGGAGAACTTAAGATGGGAAGGGTTTTTTCCTCCCCTATGAGATTCAACAGTACTTGCTTCTCCATACATACACAGCAAAAGATCAGCAAAAAGTTAATAATTTTTCTCACCCCAAAACAAGTATTTTGTTTGGCAGCAATAATGAAGCTCTTTCTTAGTCATTTGGGTAGCTCTGTGAAAATTACAGATCAGAAAGCCATATGGATAAAAGACATATATATATAATCATATTATTAAACAAATCAAATTTCCCAATACTGTTATTATTAAAAATATTATATTTTGAGCATTTAATGTACATAATTATAACCAAAACCTGGTATTTCAAAAAAACAAAGAAAAATTAAGCAATTTTAGTATATATTTTCTTTGCTTAAATTTACAAATCAAAGCAACTTAATACTTACTTACAATATATACTCTAAGTTTTTTATTTATTATTTTAGTGCTTAACAAAAATGACTATCGGTGGCTAAATGTATGCATAGGCAAAAACAAACAGCAAAACTGGACATTGATGTGTTCTTTCTTTCCTCATCCTTTAACCACTGTTTCTTAAAATGTTCTGTGAGAACCCACCTCATTTGAATTTGTACATCTAGAGCCTTGGGGCCCATCAGAGCTGTGCAATCATAATGTCGAGGCTGTGGCCATTTATTTTCAAGTCTTGCATGTGGTTCTTATGCCTTAACACTTGTTAATATTCCTTTTTGCCTCCTTCTGAAAGCAAATACAGCTTTATCTTTTTTAACTGCTTCCTTCAAATGCTATCCTTCAGCTTTTTTTGCTTATTTGCTCACCCTCAACACCACCTCCACATTAAAAGAAAGATTCTTTATGTGCCAGTATATGGTTACATACTTCACTTATTCCAAGCAGCCAACCTGCAACTCAGTGATAAAAAGTGAATGAGCAATGGGCTGTGGAAGATTCTGTAAGGTCATTCCTCACTTCCAAAAAATAATTCAAAGAGGATGTCCAGTCTTGGGCCAGTGGTATTATCCTCATGAATAAAAGGACAGGTCATTAATCATTAATTGTCATGCTCTGCAAATACTGCAGAATGGTTTCCAAAGACCATTCTTCCTCCCTGATCCCTGGTCATGTTAGTAGAAGTTGATCAGACCTCATTTCTGGGCACCAGTTAAGTCAGATATAGAAGTAGACAGGACAGGAAGGGTGGAGTGCACGACAAGGGGATAAGAGTTTTAAGCAACAGGATGTAGCATTGTCTTTCCTGTTGAACTTCTTTCAATACACTAATTTTCCTATAAAGAGAGAAGGGTAAAGAAGTCTTGGTTCTAAGGACAGTGGTGATGAGTCCTGTCCTCTGGAAGAATTTGACCATTCTTAATCTACTTTTAAAATGTTGAGAGTGGAGCTTGGAACAGAAGGTTTCAGGAGCAGGACAAGGGCTCTGAAATTTCTAAGGGTCATTGTGTCATGGAGTTGGATCAATGGATCATCTT